AATTCAGGCGGCATCTCGGTGTGATGAGCGAGCCGCCGACTGCCGGCGAGCCGTGCGTGATGCCCTGCCGTCTAATTGGCGGATAACCGGAGATTGGCTGTCGCCCGCTGCAAAGCGGACCGCCGGAGTATGCGGCTCTGAGCGGGGCCGCCCCTCCACCCACCAGCGGGCGTCCGCGCAGCTGTCGGCGCCGCCAGCTGCGGCCGCCAGCTGCATGCCGACAGCTCCCTGTCCGGATTCGGCTGAAGGCACTGGGTTTGGCGAGGTCTGGGTGCGCGCGGCGTGAGCTCGTCGATCGCAATGTGCGTGAGGAATTTGGTAGTTATCAGTCTGCCGGATGATATCAGGGAGGCTCGTGGGCGCTAGCCTTGCCTCTTCGTAATTCGGCGACCCATTGATTTAAGGTTGTGTTCTGGGTTCGCGATATATCATCAGATGGCAAAATTTGGCACCATTAGAGGTCTACCCGCATTTGCGTGAGCGTGAAGATCGGGAGCTAATTTTGGAACGCTCGACAAAACGGTGTTGATGCATCTGCAGTGAAATTGAACGTTTCCTGCCTGTTGAACTAGGCCATGTTCTCTTTAGAATGCGGAGCTTGGGGTCAGTGGCGTCTTCTTTTACGCTCATCCACAAGTCAAATCCAATACGGTATCTCAAGTCGCTAATGCTCGAACTGCTCAAAGGATTTCCCATCTGGTATTCAGTAAAATAATAGGCGTGCGGCTTTGCTACCTTGATCACAATATCCCAAGCTCGGTCAGGTCAAGGCTGTCTAAAGTGACGTCACATATCTAATGTCACGTCACGTGTCGCGTATGCCTATGTACAGGCTGTGGGCCTTGAAGCTGCGTTGGTTATGTCTAGCTGAATTCACAGCGTCTATCAACGCAGTTTTTACTGAGGCACAACGTTCTAGACCATTCTTGTTTTATCCTGGGAGAGAACTCGTGCTAAGTCACAATCAAGGAGCCAGGTGCTTACAGCGCCATTATCAACGCAACCTTCGGCCGGATTTTTCGCCGGATTCTGAAACCATTAGCATTGGTTTGCACATTTTCGGTTTTTTTCTTTGCATAAGCCTGCCTGACCTGTCTTCGGACCTTCTGTCTGCCCGGGGAATTGAGAAAATTCAGAGCTGTCTCGGCCGATTCTGTCTTGGACGGACGTGCCCCGGGACGACATGGCCAGACGACATGGCCAACAGGGACCGTGGAGCCTCAGGGCCCAAGGTCTGCGCGGCTCCCGAGCGGGCAGCGACCATCCAGTCGCTGCAGCGGCTTCTTCCTCACAGACCGGTTTACAGCGATTAGACCACAGGTCAACACCGATTGGACCTCCAGCCGCAGAGTCCTGGTGACGTCCCCGGCCAGCCCAGCCGGGCGGCGCGGACCAGCGCGGCTGACGGCCTGACCTGACCTGACGGGGTCACCCCTCGGCCCCGGGCGTCTGTCGCTCCCACGGTGTGCGCCGACCGACCCCGACCGAGGCCCGCACGCTCCCACGCCCCGCGGCGCCACTGATCCTGCGCGAGGCTCGGCCTCGGACCTGGCCAGCGGCAGCGGCGGCGGCTCGCCTCCCGTCCGCCGCGCCACGGCCGACGCCGCACCGCATCGCTCGCTGGCCGCATTCCTGGGATCAGCCCGCAGCCGCCGCCGCGTCGACCGGCGACCGCTGAGCGCCCCCCCCCCCCCCCCCGCCTACTCGCCCGCGGTCGGAGAGGACGCCCGGGGCATTCCGGTAGGGGAGGGGCGGCGTCGCAGACGAGACGACTGGGAGAGCTGCCCACGACGCGGGGTTTACCACCTGCCACGCGATTCCAGGACAGGTTAGCCAGGTCCCGTTAATGCCAGGCAGTGTCGGGTATTTGATCATCGCACTCGGAGCCCACTGGGACAAATGTATTGTGATTTTACAAAGCCGGGCACCAGCCCCATTCTTACGCCGAATTCTCCGCCCCAGATAGACGGCTTAACACACCGGCCCGATTGCTTGACTCGGCCAGTCCGGTGAGAAATGACTGGCAGTTGCTAATGATGTCGCCGCCCCGCACTCCCTGTTTCTGATCATTTAATAGACGGATCTTTTTATCGCGGGCACCGGCGCCACAAATGCTGCCGTGGAAGCAGCTGAGAGTTGCCTGGAAATTCGCAAGGCTTGATTGAGTCCTGCCAGGACGCGCGTGCAACGACCTGATGTTCTTTCTGCTACTCTTTCAACACACTCATTGTGGATCTCGCTATCAGTGTCACATCCAGTGGACCATCTAGTAGCCTTTCAATAGCCTTTTCGTGCACCTTCTCATGTACGGCTCTATTCAAGCTCTCTCCCGCATGCACGTCTCGCTTTCTTCTTTCTAAGAAAACGGACTTGTGTCACTCCTGCCAACCGCCGATTAACCGTAGCAGATCTCAACATCTCCTCCAGCAGACCGCATTTCATGTGGTCGCTTGATGCGGCGATAAGCCTGTGCCAGAGCGTTGCCACATGCTGCTGAGCCCTGCCAGAGACCTTGCTCACTGGATAACATACCGGTCTGCGGTCGCCAATCGGGCACGTGAGGACGCGAAAGTGGACATGACGTCAACTGAAGCTGACGGGGCTGTCTCACCTAAACTGGGGCGGTACTGCTGTGGTGGTTAGGGTGCTCGTCTCTGGATCTTTTGGTCCTAGGTTCGGGTCCTTTCCGCACCTCTACTGCGTTTCACATGGTACCTTAAAATGGCATCCCGCCTCGAAATAGCCCTGGCAGTCGGTGAGACGCGCAGTTATCTCCTAAACTCCGACAAGAAAATAGCTCAAGACGCGTCTGCTTGGGCGTGGCTTGAGCCTATGCAGTCGCAGCACCGCAGCGCAGTCTGATGCAAGGCAGCGCCGGCTGGAACTGTCGGCAGGTGTCGCCGAGTCGCAGCACCGCAGCACAGTCTGGTGCGAGGCAGTGCCGGCTGAAACTGTCAGCAGGTGTCGCCGAGACACAGCACCGCGGCATAGTCTGATGCGAGACAGCGCCGGCTGGAACTGTCGGCAGGTGTCGCCGAGTCGCAGCACCGCAGCCAGTCTGGTGCGAGACAGCGCCGGCTGGAACTGTTGGCAGGTGTCGCCGAGTCGCAGCACCGCAGCCAGTCTGGCGCGAGACAGCGCCGGCTGGAACTGTTGGCAGGTGTTGCTGAGTCGCAGCACCCCAGCACAGTCTGGTGCAAGGCAGCGCCGGCTGGAGCTGTCGGCAGGTATCGCCGAGTCGCAGCACCGCAGCGCAGCCTGATGCGAAACGGCGCCGGCTGAGACTGTCGGCAGGTATCGCCGAGTCGCAGCACCGCAGCCAGTCTGGTGCGAGACAGCGCCGGCTGGAACTGTCGGCAGGTGTCGCCGAGTCGCAGCACCGCAGCCAGTCTGATGCGAGACAGCGCCGGCTGGAACTGTCGGCAGGTATCGCCGAGACGCAGCACCGCAGCCAGTCTGGTGCGAGACAGCGCCGGCTGGAACTGTCGGCAGGTGTTGCTGAGCCGCAGCACCGCAGCACAGTCTGATGCGAGACAGCGCCGGCTGGAACTGTCGGCAGGTATCGCCGATTCGCAGCACCGCAGCGCAGTCTGATGCGAGACAGCGCCGGCTGAAACTGTCGGCAGGTGTCGCCGAGTCGCAGCACCGCAGCACAGTCTGGTGCGAGGCAGCGCCGGCTGGAACTGTTAGCAGGTGTTGCCGAGTCGCAGCACCGCAGCGCAGTCTGATGCGAGACAGCGCCGGCTGGAACTGTCGGCAGGTGTTGCTGAGTCGCAGCACCGCAGCATAGTTTGGTGCGAGGCAGCGCTGGCTGGAACTGTCGGCAGGTTTTGCCGAGTCGCAGCACCGCAGAGCGTGATAAACTGACGACTGACATCAGGCGGAGATCGACATAGTCGTACATTGAAAAAGCCTTCGTCAAGAACTCTAGTCCTGTTTTCAGGCTCGCATGCCTCTGACGGAACTACCTGGCAGCATGATGCACTCTAGTCGCTGTTTATATTTCTTGGGATGGGGAGTGGGGGTGCCGCGAACGAATATGCGCAGACATGCGATATTGATGAAAGCCTTGCTGTTTCACAGTTCAGTCGCGCTTATCTAGACGGCTTGATTGAACTGACAAGTATGACACTGGGTTACAGATATCTACAAGTCAAGGATCGCATGACCTATATTTGTTTCTGAGTTTTCTGTTTATCATAACTTTGCACGTTCTTCATGAATCTACGAGTGTCCTGACGCTCGGTTATGATTCGGAACACCGATGTAGCGTGTCATATGCCATCGAATCCCCGAACAGAGCTCTGTCAGCTGTGGTCGCAAATACAAATGCAGAAAGAGAAACCTACTGGTTCAGTGATATATATATATATATATATATATATATATATATATATATATATATATATATAGGCACAAACATCGACATCATTGACATCAACATTGACATCGACAAACACTGAGATCGATTTGGTTTATCCATCCGATACAATGCAGTTCTCAGCGTTCAGGCTTACCAGGCTTATGATGCGGCGCGGAGCCTGTACGATTAACCAGGAGGAAGCTGACCGCAGCCAAAATGGCTGTACTGGACACCAGGCCATGGGCTGGTTGCGCAACACACTGGTCAGTAACCTATTCCCTTCTCTGATGACGCAAATTCTCAATGCCTTCACGCGACGCTAATTGGCTGCAAGCTCCGTCACAAGAACATGACATTAGAAATAGTGTTAAGTCTCCTGACTGAGCCGTTCACTGCAATCAATCCATCAGGATCCTAGGAATGTTCTTCTTATCAATGACACACTTGAATCGCTATAAATATCCCCGCAGGGGGAGAGAGGAAGTAACCACTGACAAAGGTGAGCACCGGCTGTGATGCCGTCAGATTGTTTGTTCGCCCATGGACTCCTCCACATCAGCGCGCCGTCTCTCGGTGCCCCCCTCCCCCCCCCCCCCCCCACCAACCGCAGAGCGTGCTGAGCCCGGTCCGCCGGCAGGTTCGAGACCACCAACGGCATCAAGCGCGAGGAGGTGGGCAAGATCTATAGCGGCCCCAACAACGAGACAGGCGTGCTGGCAACCGAGGGCCGCGTGCACTGGACCGCCCCGGACGGCATGCGCATCGAGATGCACTGGCACGCCGACGAGAACGGCTTCCAGCCCAGGGTGAGTAGGTCACCAGGCGCCGCACCTCGCGGGTCACAGGTCACCACAGCTCGCTCGAGGCAGCCACCAGCCCGACGCGAGGGCACCACTCGGCACGGGGTCGCAGGTCATCAACAACGCCATGAGAAGTGCCAGCTGAGATAGAGTCAGTGAAAGAGCCACAGTTGCTCCTGCAGAATCACGGGTCATTAGCTGATGCTGATGAACAGCATCAGCATCAGCTGGTGAACGGCTGATGAACGGCTACCAACAGGAGGGGTGGGGGAGGGGGAGGGGGTGAAGGCCGTCGCCAGTCGAACAGCGTCGCAGGTCGCCGACTGTCGGCCAGGGGAGGGAATGGTCAGAAGCTGGGACATCGGGCGTTTTCCCTACCACCTGCCGAATGTCTGGAGACCTAGGGCAAACGGCAAACCAGCAACTGATCGCTCACGTGCGACGCATCAGGCCGTCAACTGGCTGCGCAGGCACGATCGTTGAGACGTCACCTGGATGGTCCGTCGCGGGTGTCAGGTCATCACATGGCCGAACAGGTGCACAGTGTCGGGTCACCAAATGGTTACCCAGGTGCGACTTGCCAGGTCATTCCCCGGCTGCTCATGTACGGATGGACGGATCACCAGACGACTCCATGTCAGGATGACATGGCAGGGGACCAGCTGGCTACCCTCTGACGTGCACTCCTACGTCACCATGACAGCTGGCCATGTGAGACCGCCAGGTCACCACTGGCTGGTCAGGCACGGAGCGGGACGTCATGCGCTGGCTGGCCAGGGGACCGAGCCACTGGCCATGTGAGACTGCCAGGTCACCACTGGCTGGTCAGGCACGGGGCCGGACGTCATACGCTGGCTGGCCAGGGGACCGAGCCACTGGCCATGTGAGACTGCCAGGTCACCACTGGCTGGTCAGGCACGGAGCGGGACGTCATGCGCTGGCTGGCCAGGGGACCGAGTCATCATGTACCGGCTCAGGATGGCGGGACCCGATGATTGGCGTCAGACATTGCTGACATGACAATCGTGGAACCTGACGTGATGAAGGCCGTTAAATCCGTGTCCGTGTATCTCGCAATGTCCCAGTCGATGTGAATGTATTACTTCTGCAGAACATTCGACCAGACTTTTAATCTAAATCTCTTGTTGTTTCGGTATTTTCCAAGGCGATAACGACAGCTTATATACCTAAAGCACAACATTACAGATACACGCAAAATACGCCACGCATCTTCAACGTTTTTGATCGAAATGTTTGCTTATGCAACAAGTTTTGTGTGCCTGATCTGTTTTCTGTAATTCCTCTGGTATAGTGAAGGTCGGTTACCGTCATTGAGATGTCATAGCGCATTACTGGCCATCCAAAAACGTTCAAATGCTGTGCATTCAATCAGGCCAGTTTTAACCCTAAAAGCGTTTTTGCGAGCAAATGATCCTAAGTAGGATCATCAGGAATCAGTCGCATTCTTCGCATCACTCATGTGATTGATCAGAGCATGTAGCTTTGAACCATGATTACCGCGACGAAAGCGAGAGTATAACTGTCTGAAGCCATCCTTTAGATAATTCATCTCATGCACCACAAACCTTTGAGGCAGCTTTCAGTACACGGCAGCTAGATGGTGGTCACCGCTATTGGATCGGATTGCCGCGGCCTCGTATCCCTTCACGCAGGCCAGGGACGAAGCCCGCAGACATCATATGTTGACATCAGGCGGGCATCTCAGCCGTTCTGGAGAGGGCGGGAAGGGTGTGCGGGCTACGCTCATATTTGCGTGGATTGATCGCGTCAAGCACTCTGTGGTCAGGTCAGTCGCCTGGGGCTGATCCCAGCGAGACTCTGCCGGTCTGCGGTTAGCCAACGATAATGTGACACAAAACGACGCCATGCTGCAGCCCCCAAGACTTGCCTTGCGTGGCGAATTCGCACATCAGGATGAGTTAACGCCAGACTTGTGCTTGATTCCGCCTCAACGAAATCGGCTTCGATTCGGACTTGCAGCGTAAAGGTCGGCTTCCGCTGACCTGCACAGAACATCTTTGAGTTGGCTCCGACTCGAAGAACGTGTCCCAGTTCTGGAATCAACGTTCGCTTCATGGGCACACATCATATCATTTTTACATTTAATTGTTATTGAAATGATATTTATTTTGCCAAAATTGAACTACGTCTTGGTGGGGTCTGTTTGCTGCACATGAGATAGCTTGGCAGGATACAAATATATCCTACATCTCATATCTCTATTTCGAATGACTCCGCGATAGCTAGGAATACTCAACGAAGGCTGATACAGAAGTTAAAAGAAGTTTGTTTTCCCCGAATTAACGAAAATTGGCCGATTGAGCTCGATTCTGACCCCAGCCGGAGTGAAGCGCAGGTCTGGCCTACAGTCTGGCCTGACGCTATATTCCAGCATTCGTGGCAGGCGCAAACACACAGAAGCAAGCTGAAGTATCCCCAAACAAGCATAAGTATCAGACAAAACACGAAATTGACCGGGGAGGATGCAGCCCCCCCGCCCCCTCCCAAAGCCGGGCTAGCTATGCGACGGGAACTGGAGGGGGGGGGGGGGACGGCAAGGTCGAAACCAGAGTCGTGATCAGCGCATTAAGAGCAGGACGAGCTTCGCCCCGTGTTTGCAGAGCTGGCTTGCCTTCGGAGCATGACTTTCCCGGCCCGGAGGAACAACCTCTCGCAACCTGGCAGACACGCCCCTGCGATGGTCAGCGGACGCTTGCCACACGAGCCGCAGCTCTGAGCATCTGACAATGTTGTGGCCAGCGCGGTCAGGCTGGAGAAATGTCACTGGCTGTCACTTTACGTGACGTCACAGGGTTAGCGGCGTGCGCTCAGCATAGTCGTTGCCGCGCTTATCTGTAAAAACACGTTCAGCCTCGGACTTTGTTTTGTAGGTCCCGATCCAGCTTACGCCAGTGGCTGCCGTATGTTAGTTGATGTTCGCAACATGGGCTCCCCTCACGTGCTATCTAATGACTGAAGCATTTGTTTCTGTTTGAAAATGTTCCACGGCGCTTCATTGACAAGGATCAAAATCCGGAAATATGATCAGTCTGATGCCACCATAAAGATGTTTGCATAGTTAGCAAACTTGGTGCGATATTTTCGTTCTGTTTCACGACCAGTCTTCGGCGAACAAACTAGGCGCCGCGTCTTGACCTGCTCAGACGACGTCAGCCCCGCTTACCACTGACCTCCACACATGGTGTCCAACCACTGGTAACCCAGCCCTGCTTACCACTGACCTCCACACATGTGCCCCGTCTGTTGCGGGGCGTACACATGGTGTCCAACTACTGGTAACCCAGCCCCGCTTACCACTGACCTCCACACATGTGCCCCGTCTGTTGCGGGGCGTACACATGGTGTCCAACCACTGGTACACCAGCCCCGCTTACCACTGACCTCCACACATGTGCCCCGTCTGTTGCGGGGCGTACACATGGTGTCCAACCACTGGTAAACCAGCCCTGCTTACTACTGACCTCCACACATGTGCCCCATCTGTTGCGGGGCGTACACATGGTGTCCAACCACTGGTACACCAGCCCCGCTTACCACTGACCTCCACACATGTGCCCCATCTGTTGCGGGGCGTACACATGGTGTCCAACCACTGGTACACCAGCCCCGCTTACCACTGACCTCCACACATGTGCCCCGTCTGTTGCGGGGCGTACACATGGTGTCCAACCACTGGTAACCCAGCCCTGCTTACTACTGACCTCCACACATGTGCCCCATCTGTTGCGGGGCGTACACATGGTGTCCAACCACTGGTACACCAGCCCCGCTTACCACTGACCTCCACACATGTGCCCCATCTGTTGCGGGGCGTACACATGGTGTCTAACCACTGGTACCCCAGCCCCGCTTACCACTGACCTCCACACATGTGCCCCGTCTGTTGCGGGGCGTACACATGGTGTCCAACCGCTGGTAACCCAGCCCTGCTTACTACTGACCTCCACACATGTGCCCCATCTGTTGCGGGGCGTACACATGGTGTCCAACCACTGGTAACCCAGCCCTGCTTACTACTGACCTCCACACATGTGCCCTATCTGTTGCGGGGCGTACACATGGTGTCCAACTACTGGTAACCCAGCCCTGCTTACCACTGACCTCCACACATGTGCCCCATCTGTTGCGAGGCGTACACATGGTGTCCAACTACTGGTAACCCAGCCCTGCTTACTACTGACCTCCACACATGTGCCCCATCTGTTGCAGGGCGTACACATGGTGTCCAACTACTGGTAACCCAGCCCTGTTTACCACTGACCTCCACACATGTGCCCCATCTGTTGCGGGGCGTACACATGGTGTCCAACCACTGGTAACCCAGCCCTGTTTACTACTGACCTACACATCTGCGCGCCGTCTGTTGCGGGGCGTACACATGGTGTCCAACTACTGGTACACCAGCCCTGCTTACTACTGACCTACACACCTGCGCACCGTCTGTTACAGGGCGTACACATGGTGTCCAACCACTGGTACACCAGCCCTGCTTACTACTGACCTACACACCTGTGCACCGTCTGTTACAGGGCGTACACATGGTGTCCAACCACTGGTACACCAGCCCTGCTTACTACTGAATTACACACCTGTGCGCCGTCTGTTGCAGGGTGTACACATGGTGTCCAACCACTGGTACACCAGCCCTGCTTACTACTGAATTACACACCTGTGCGCCGTCTGTTGCAGGGTGTACACATGGTGTCCAACCACTGGTACCCCAGCCCTGCTGACTACTGACCTACACACCTGCGCGCCGTCTGTTGCAGGGCGTACACATGAGGTCCAACCACTGGCATCCCGTACCCGAGCTGCCCCCCGTCGACGAAGACTACAAGCTGCTGCGAGCTCTCCGCGATGACACGTTGGACCTGCTCCGGCACTCGGAACCGGAGGACCCAGAGGTCAAGCGCCTGAAGAAGCTGCTCGGGCCGCAGAAGACGAAGGCAGAGAGGCTGCGGCTGAGCCGACAGAGACTGATCGAGCGCGTGAGGAAGCTGGCTCCGGGGACGTTTGAGCAGGAGAAGACGGCCGAGAGGGCGTCTTTTGAAGCTGACCCTAACGCCGTCAATCTGAGAGAAACCAATGCAGCCGCAGAACCCAGTAAGGTAGACCTGGAAAAGAAGCAGGAAGATCAAAACAAAGACGGAGCGGGGAGACCTGAAACGGCAGAATCGCCAGGCGTATCAGAAAGTCCCGAGCAGCGAAAGGCGACCGGAGACTCTGAGACCAAACGCTTGGAGAGCTCGGGGGAGCCGAAGAAGACCACAAAGGAGCAGAATGAGCGGCGGAGGATGGTGAAGCGAGTGAAGATTATTTCGAACACGTCTGAGGAGGAACAGTCTGGAGGTGTCGATTCGCTAGACACATCGGGAATTCCTAAACCGCCGAAAACGACCACAGAGGAGCGGAATGGGCGAATGAGGATGGTGAAGCGAGTGAAAATTATTTCAAACACGTCTGAGGAGGAACAGCCTGGAGGTGTCAATTCGCTAGGCGCATCGGGAATTTCCAAACCGCCGAAAACGACCGCAGCCCCAGATGTCACGCCCTTGAAGAGCTCAGGAAGGCCGAAAGAGACAAAAGGGGGAAAGGAGGGTGGACGGATGAGGATGGTGAAGCGAGTGAAGATTATTTCGAACACGTCTGAGGAGGAACAGTCTGGAGGTGTCAGTTTGCTACGCACATTAGGAGTTCTCAAACCGCCGAAAACGACCACAGAAGAGCAGAATGGACGAATGAGGATGGTGAAGCGAGTTAAGATTATTTCGAACACGTCTGAGGAGGAACAGCCTGGAGGTGCCGGTTCGCTAGACACATCGGGAATTCCAAAACCGCCGAAAACGACCACAGAGGAGCAGAATGGGCGAATGAGGATGGTGAAGCGAGTAAAGATTATTTCAAACACGCCTGAGGAGGAACAGCCTGGAGGTGCCGGTTCGCTAGACACATCGGGAATTCCAAAACCGTCAAAAACGACCACAGAGGAGCAGAATGGGCGAACGAGGATGGTGAAGCGAGTGAAGATTATTTCAAACACGTCTGAGGAGGAACAACCTGAGGGTGCCGGTTCGCTAGACACATCGGGAATTCCAAAACCGTCAAAAACGACCACAGAGGAGCAGAATGGGCGAATGAGGATGGTGAAGCGAGTGAAGATTATTTCAAACACGTCTGAGGAGGAACAACCTGAAGGTGCCGGTTCGCTAGACACATCGGGAATTCCAAAACCGTCAAAAACGACCGCCGACCCAAAGGTCACACCCTTGGGGAGCTCGGGGAGGCCGAAAGGGACAAAGGAGGGAAAGGAGGGTGGACGGATGAGGATGGTGAAGCGAGTGAAGGTTATTCAGAACGCATCTGAGCAGGTGAAGACGGCCGAGGGTTTGTCTTCTGAAGCCGACTCAAACCCCGGCAAGCTACGAGAAGCGACTGGAGCAGAGGAGGTCGGTAAGGTGGGCCTGAGAGCGAAACAGGAAGACCAGACCAGTGACGGGCTGGAGCAGCCTGAGGCTCCTACTTCACCGGACATATCGGGAAGTCCTAAACAGCCGAAAGCAGCCAGTGCGGACATCGACGCCAAGCAGTTACGTCTAGGACTGATTCCTTTCACCATCATCGAAGGTAATGCTCTGGGATGGGCGATGCGATGTCAAGGTCGAATGTCTTCATTAATCAGAATCAGTACGACTGCCTCGGGATGGTTCGCAGTTCTGATTGGCTGAGCTTGTCATACTCAAACACAGTGTTGGAACACTTCTTATCATGCCGTGATCGGTACTTAACCTGAATTCCGTTTTCAGGAAACAAGTTAAGGCGGACCATCAGGGTACGTCGGAAGATCATGACATTGTAAAGCGAAGACCGGGCGGGACGCTGGGAACGCGGCGCTGTGAGTGCTGCGCGTACGTAACAGTGAGATAGTGGTACCTAACAGTGAGATATTTGCTGTCCGGGAAAGGGCAAAGAGAAGCAGGCGAGGGTGATGGCAATGCCAGCTCTCATTCCATGACGATTTGCGAATGGAAAATCATTCAGCCGATAAGCACAAGACCTGTATGCAGTGCAGAAAGCGGCGCGATGCACCGAAATAGACCGGTGCGCACGTGCTGTGCAGACCACATTTGTAGCAATTGACATTGGTTTTCCAAAAGGTCCTTTTACCGCGAGTAAAATCAGTCAGCGTTACAATATTAGTGTGAATTCCGTGTCCAGGCGCGCGCTGAGGAACCGCAAGCATGCAGTTTCAGCGGCTTATTCTGAACGCCAAATGCTCTCATGGTGTGAGCAATGCCTTGCGTGTAATTCATAGAAAGCCGGTAACTGCAGTGCAGCTATGAATGTGCTCGTGACACGTAAGCCGCGCTTACATTCACCGGGTTGGCAGCGTGGCTGGCGAGTGGTAAAGTGAGCAGGAGACTGGGAGGAGCGTGTGTAGCCATGACTTGTGGTTATGACTCCATCAGTGGTAGACCAATACATGCATCATTAGCTGACCCGCAACAAACACGTTACGTTCAGGTCCTAGTTCAACGGGCCTTTTATAAGCATAATGATCAAAATGCATGATTCGCATACTGTTCGGTGGGCCGTCGGTACTTCAGCATAATCCTTTAGTTACCACCAAAATACATTCGCTGTTTTCAAAACCCGACAACATGCAACCCGACAGTCCGGCCGCAATACCAAAACTACAGTACACCAAGTATCACGATTCGTGAGAACCACGCCCGTCGTCCCTAATGTGAAGCGAGAGGCGACACACAAAATACGTCGCTTCAACCGGACTCTTGTGTACGGGTGCTCGCGTAGTACATCTACCGCCAGCAGCAGCAGTGCTTACGGTATTCTCAGTCCCACGTGCACCAACCTAGGCATCACCTGAGCAAGCGCGCGCGCCGCGAACAGGGCGCTTTCACGCGGCGCGCGGCGTCCGCGAGCCCCGCGAGTACCTCGCTCCTCCACCACAGAGGTGGGCGAGACGCCGGCCGGACGGGCCTCCGCGCCTGGAGGTCAGCGCTCGGTCCCCTGGTCTGTCCTCGGCCAGGCCGCCGACACAGCAGCGCGGCACATCACAAGCCGGCGGACACCGGGGAACACGACTCCACTGGCCGCGGGGGGCCAGCGCCAACGAGCGTGTGAGCCGAGTACGGCAGCGTGGCCAGACGGCATCACCAGCCGAACACGACGGCGTGGCCAGACAGCATCACACGCCGGGCACGACGGCGTGGCCAGACGGCATCACAGGCCAAACACGACGGCGTGGCCAGACGGCATCACCAGCCGAGCACGACGGCGTGGCCAGACGGCATCACACACCGAACACGACGGCGTGGCCAAACGGCATCACAAGCCAAACACGACGGCGTAGCCAAACGGCATCACACGCCGAACACGACGGCGTGGCCAGACGGCATCACAATACCGTGAGCAAGACGAGGGGACAAGGAAAACGGCACTGAAGGCGCCGTTAGGAAGGCGGCGGGCGGCGTATGCATAGAATCTGCTGAGCGGCGGCGTTTATTGTCGATAAAAAGGTCTAATCTAGGACAATCTCTCGGTTGCAGTAATCTCTCATCAGCGCCGACCAGGACCACGACCATCGAAAGGACGCACACACGTAAACACGCACACAGGCGCACACCGCGCTGGACAGGCCAGGCAGGGGGCACACGTTCACCGCCGTAAGCAAGGAGAGACAGCGCTGGGACAGGACGCAGCAGTGCGGTAAGAAACGTACGCCATGGTTACAGGAGACCGGCACAATTTGATCTGATTTGGCGCGATCGGTCAGGCCGCAGTGTTAAAACCACTCATTCGCTCGCGGCTGAGTAATCACGGCGAAGGAAGCACAAGCTGACGGGGGTGAGCGTGGCAGTCACGCGCAGACTAAAACGATGGTTCCAAACCACTATTTACAGAGTCACCAAGGCCCTTTTCACCAAGAGGCGACGAGGCCGCGAAGCATCGATTCTCAACAGCTAAATTTGTACCGACATATCTCAGCCCGCGGTCTTCACGCTACCTTCGCTGATCCGCCGCTCCACGTGCTCCACTGGTGCTACCTCGGCCACCGGCGGCCACGGCCGCAACACGCACGGCATCGCGCCGCACAATCTCCTGAAGACTACACCGGTCACCGGCGGCCACGGCCGCAACACGCACGGCATCGCGCCGCACAATCTCCTGAAGATTACACCGGTCGCCGGCGGCCACGGCCCCGCGCCGCACAATCTCCTGAAGACTACACCGGTCACCGGCGGCCACGGCCGCAACGCGCACGGCATCGCGCCGCATAATCTGCTGAAGACTACACCGATCACCGGCGCGTCCACCCCTCAACACGCACGGAGGTGCGCAGGGACGGCGGCGATCAGACGGTTCCTGGCGCCACGGGCGGCCCGGTCGGGCGAGGCGCGCCGCCCCACCGGCCCGCGGAGCAGCCTTCCCGCCCGCGCGGCGGCGGGCGGTCCCTTCAAAGCGAGGCGCCCCGCTCGGCGCTCGCGGAGGTGCAGCGAGGCGTTCCGCTCAGCGCTCGCGGAGGCGCAGCGAGAGCGTGCTCAGACACTCGCCAAGTTCGCGGCTGGCGAGCGCCTGCTGCAGGAAGCGGCGCCGCCAGGCGGCCAGGTCCGGCAGAGTCGCGCACGACGGGATGTTCAGGAACGTGTCGAAGAACTCCGACCACAGGCTGCCGCACCAGTACCTGCGGCCGACGCAGCGCTCGATCAGGCCCGCCCTCTATCGGCACGTGGCGTCACGAACGGTGTCACTGCCGACCGCCAGACGGCGGGAGCGAGAACATGGCACGGCACCGATCGGCCGCACGTCAGCGTAAGCGCGTGCGCCGGCGAGCCCGGTCGACGTACCGTCTGATGGTGCCAGTGAAGGTCCAGCGCGCGGGCTCTGCCGCGCTGCGCACCAGCTTCAGGTAGCTGCCGAACAGCAGCACGTAGGCGGAGGCGGCCGCACCGTACAGGTCCGTCTGGTACGTCCACGGCCGGCCGTCCAGCATCTCCGGGCACGTGAACCCGTCCGTCGTCACCACGCGCGTGAAGGTCGTGCCTGCCGACAGCAGGCGGCGTCGTCAGGCGCCGCGCACACGACAGGCGCTCAGAGCGGGGCCGCACCGCCGGCCCGACCTCGGCCGGCACCGGCAGAGGCGGCGGCCGAACCACTTGGCCGTTGGTCCCGAGGTCCCACGGCCTCGGGACCAACACTTGCGACAGGTGCAACAGGAGCTGCCAAGAGCTGATACAGATGCACAGTGAAAAATCATGATCCACAGTGTAAAACTCTACCTGATCCGCTGCACACATGCAAACAGGCACCTGGGAAGACAGACACTCGAACTGCAAATTCCGCCAGCACGTCGATGCCATTAGCAGAGAGCGCGCGGCGCCGCGGCATCGCCATCACAGGGCCCACCCATCGTCCCGCCCGGCGAGATCCCTAGTGCGCAGCCGGCTCACCAGGTGGCAGCAGGGTGGTGTCGATGGCGCGGCCGAAGTCGATGAGCTGCAGCAGCTGCGGCGGCCCGCCGCGCGTCAGGTCGGCCAGCAGCTCCTGTCGCCGGTCCAGCGCACTGCGACACCGCAGGTCACACCCGGCGTCAGGGGGACGGGGCTGGTACAGGGTCACCGGCTGGGACGGCGGCGGGGGCAGGTGAGGAAGGGTCAGCGCAGTTGCTCTCTGCCGGCGCGACACACGACCAGCAGACGGCAGGGAACCAGAGACAGTCGTCGGAGTATCAGCAGCAGTGACGTAACACCATGACGTCACCGACCGGCGGCCGCCGGTGGTCTGCTCACCGGGCGCGCAGCAGGAAGTTGTCGGGCTTGACGTCACCGTGAATGACGCCGACGGCGTGGACGGCCTCCAGCGCGCCCAGCATCTCGGCCGTCAGCAGCATGACCAGCGACTCGATCGACTTGCCCGGCTGCCGGCAGCGGCGGCAGGTCACGAGAGTATACACTGCCGGCCAGGAGACGGCTCGCATCGCCCCGGACCGAGGGCGTATCTCACGCAAGAATAGAGCGAAGTCCGCAGTCGACAACGGGGAGGGCAACCCACAAATCGAGAGCCACTGATAGTAGATTTCCACTAAGACAGTAGAGTGGGGAAGCCAGCTCTTGTGCACGGCATGACCTGGGTCGGTATGTGTGCAGGGCGTGGTCTGTACGGGCCATAACTTTACACCAACCACCCGTGTAGACTATTTGCCCAAAAGCTTGTCTTTGAACCACGCACAGAAAACACCACACCGCAGACGAACCAAACAGTCCAGGATGAGTCTGTCCAACTGTGAAGCAGCGAGGCCAAATTTCGGGCAGCGGCTAACGTGGCGGCCTATCGCGCCAATTCTCACACCATACTGCTGGCATGCGGCATGACGCGTGGGTCGAAACACTCAAGCTCGCAACATCGACGGCGTGCGCGTGCGGTGCGAGCCCCTGTTGTGGCGGACCGCGAGGCGCATCACGTTTGGCTCCACTCTCAGCCTAAACACTCTTCTGATCACCGGAACTCAGACACCTTCAACATGACCAGTGCACCAAAGCTGAGGCAAACGGAAGGAACGCTACACCAACAGCACGGCTGCAGCGTTGCTTGTCTGGACCGGGCTGCGCTGCCGGCCGGTCCGCCGTCGTCGCTACTGCTCACGTTGTGCCGCAGCTTGTTGAGCACGTCCAGAAGAGACCCAGCCGGCTCGTACTCGGTGCTGAGGATGCTGCCGTTGTCGAACACGCTCACCCGCTCCACCGGCATCACGAACTCAAGCTGCCGGCCCGAGCCAAGGACGTCACGCATGGTCTGACGGAGGGGGGGGGGGGGGGGGGTCGAACGCGGCCTGATGGCCGCCAGGGCGGCCAGGGGAAGGCGACAGATACTGACAGGCGGAGACGCCAGGGAGTGGTGGACAGGGCAGACACCGCAGACTGTTGGTCAGACGGAAACGTCAGAGATTGTCAGACGGAGACATCAGGGAGTGACAGGCGGAGAAATCAGGAGCTGTGAGGGAAGGCCCGTCAGGGACCGCCCAGCAGACGGAGGTATGGGATGCCGTCCGCCGGGGGACACACGTCGGGGTCCGACCAAGGGATACACCAGACACGTCAGACAGGGGCGGGGGAGGGGTCAGGGACTATTTGCTAGAATAAGGCGTCTGCAGACAGCAAGACACACTCTCGGCCACCAGACTGTCTGGAAGAAGCAAACATCACTCTTTCCAACACCGTGACACACCGGAACGGCACGACAGCCAAATGCGACCAACAGACGAAGAGCAAATCAAAGCCACTTGTGAGCGCGACCAGCCAGCCGGGCGGCTTTGCCGTGTCCTGGTCGCAGCTCTGCCGGCATGCACCGGTCACTGTCAGCTTCAGCATTTACAAGTACTGATAGTCAACGCCGCCGACACGGCCGCGGGAGCCCACGGCCGAGTCGGGATCACTGACCTGGCCGGCGCCGGCGCGGCTCGCCAGCCGGCGGTGCACCTCGTCCACGACGTAGAACTCCCACTCGCCGCCGGCCGGCTGCACCTTGAGGCAGAGGGCGCGGCCGGTGTCGCGCTCCAGCGCGTGGTAGACACGCGCGTACGCGCCCTCCCCGATCAGAGTCAGCGCCAGCCGGCGGCCGCCTGGCGGGCGAGGGCGGCGTCAGCCGGCGGCGGCGGTGCGGCCCGCCTCCCAGCCCTCCGGCACGCACGGCAGCGCTCCCAGCGAGCAGCGGCGCTGGCGCTGGCGCTGGTGCTGCCCGCCTCTCACGCGTCTGCACGCCGCGCTATACAACAGGCTACACAGGGGACGCAGTGCGAGACTGCCAGCTGCATGACCCGGCGAGCACAATGAACGGCAGGGAAAAAGCTCCAGCTATACTATCCCGTGCAGAACCCGACAGCGACGACTTTGGTACAGCCCGGCTCCACGCCACTGCGTCTGCCGGTGCGAGGCTCCAACTAGCCACGCTTGGTTACAGAACTAATAACTGTGCAGTTATTCCTCGGAGTACGTCACTACTGCCGTCACTGGCGTTGTCAGAGCCTAACAGAAGCACGCGGCACGAGCCGCGTGCATACGCCTTTTGTACCACAGGGCCTTCGATCCCAAAGCGGCCGCCTCTCAGCAGTGTGCCACTTTCCAGCAGGCACGACAGAGCGCGAGCCACGTTCCGGGCCAGACGTAAGCCACAAGCTTATTGCAAGGCCATAAATCAGCCCTGTCGTACCCCGGCCGCCCGCTCGCCGGCCGGCCACCGTCAGCCGCTCACCGTACTCGATCTCCTTCAGCGCGCAGTTGGGCAGCTTGCCGCGGAGCCGTTCGTACCGCTGGCGCTGGTGGACGGGGACCGCCAGCTGGCTCAGCAGGGCCGCGATCAGCCGCTCGTCCCAGGGGTCCGGGTGGGCGGGCGACTCGTCCAGCGTCAGCGCCGAGAGCGCGGCCGCCGGCTCCTCCGCCGGCGGCTCCAGCTCGCCCACGTCAGCGGGCGGTGGCGCCGCGCGCGCGCCGGTCACCGGCCGCTCGGCGCTGATCTCAGCTGCTGGCGGGTCGACAGCGCTGAGGTCGGCTGGCGGCTTCACGGCGCTGAGGTCGGCCGGCGCCTGCAGCGGGCTGAGCTCGGCGGGCGGGGGCAGCGCCGCGCTGAGGTCCGCCAGCGGCACCAGACTCAGCTCAGCCGGCGGCGGCGGGGCCGTGCTGAGCTCGGCCGGCGGCAGTAGGCTGACGTCGGCCGGCGGCACCGTGCTGAGGTCGGCCGGCGGCGCCATGCTGATGTCTGGCGCCTGTACGTCGCTGATATCGGCCGGGTCGGGCCGGCGCGCCATGCTGTCGACCGCCGGCCGGCCGGCCAGAGCCGAACCAGACCCATCGGCCAGGTAGCCAGAGTTCTGCGTGAGGTGGGGCGCCGACCAGCGCGACACAACAGAGCGCTGCGAGCAGGACCGGGCGCCGTCCGACGGCCGCTGCTGCCACGGCTGCGCAGCCGCCTGCAACAGACGGCCGGCCCGGTCATAGGGGGCGCGGTGCTACCCGGCGGTACCCGGCCGGCAGAGGGGACACGGCGGTACCCTGGACAGAGGGGACGCGGCGGTACCCTGCGGTCAGAGGGAACGCGACGGTACCCAGCGGTCAGAGGGAACGCGGCGGTACCCAGCGGTCAGAGGGAACGCAGCGGTACCCAGCGGTCAGAGGGAACGCAGCGGTACCCAGGGGTCAGAGGGAACGCAGCGGTACCCAGCGGTCAGAGGGAACGCGACGGTACCCAGCGGTCGGAGGGAACGCAGCGGTACCCAGCGGTCAGAGGGAACGCAGCGGTACCCAGCGGTCAGAGGGAACGCAGCGGTACCCAGCGGTCAGAGGGAACGCAGCAGTACCCAGCGGTCAGAGGGAACGCGGCGGCACCCAGCGGTCAGAGGGGACGCAGCGGTACCCGGTACACCCAGCCGGCAGGTTAGCACGATCCACACTTGTCGATGGCACAGCCAGCGTTGACAGCGGACGTCCGAAGTCCTCGACAGACGGCTGTATCGCGGAAGTCACAATTCAGACAACCAGGCGCCTCCTGGCACACCAGGCTGCATCGGCGACCGCCCTGCGTCACGCGGACCCATCTGCGAGGGGCCGTGCGCAACCCGGCGCCAGGCCGGCCGGCCGGCCACACTCACCGGCGCCGAGAGGTCGCAGCGCGACTGGCGGGACATGTCAGAGCCGCTGCTGCTGCTGGACGACTTGAAGCGCTCGCCTGCCGGACCGCGTCAGCTCAGGTCAGGGGACGTGTCGCTGGACCGGCCGGCCGGCGTGCCGCGGTGTGAGGTCGCACCGCCGGCCGCCTCGTCACCCAGGTCACATCACAACACCGGTCAAGCCCCAGCACTGCCGCATGACCACGCCCAAACAGGGCGTCACCGTCCGCTCCGGTGACGAGCCCGAGTCCGGTCCGGCCCGGCCCCACCCCGGAGCCCACCGCGGCCCCGGCCCCCACTCACGCGAGTGCTCCTGGATGGGCGTGAGCACGGCGCCGTCCTCGGTCGGGCTGCTCCTGCTGACGGCCTGGCGGCCCAGCCGCACGCTGCCGACAGCGGAGCGTGTCAGCACGGGCGGCACGCGCCACGCTGCGCACCGACGGGCGGACGCAGGCGTCGCACCGGTGGCAGCGCTCAGTGCGGCAACTTCCGCGCCGCCCTGCCGCCGTGCCAGCTCCTCCCGTTCACCCACCCGGCATTGGTGGGCTCGCCGCTCGTTAAGCTCAGTGAGTGGCAGAGCGTCGAACGTTCTGACTAATGTGAGCGAGATCTCGGGCCGCATTCTCCCAAACGCCGCCAACACTACCTTGGCACAGTTCGCAAGTGGCCAAAAGGCACGTTGAAGAGGGCTTCCATTGACACTTTATTATTGTTACGCGACACTTTAACGTCTTGGAGCAAAAGTGGTTCGCTGAATTGAGTTGCTCTGCTGCGGAGGTTGGCTAGGATACGCGTAGGGAAACTATGTTCAGAGAAAGCACTAATCCCAGGCCAGCCCTACAAATAGTTCGGCCAAGTTCCTAGATAAAACTATCTCATCTCTACACCAACGTGGCAACATCGGATGCCACACGACCACAGTTACGTTCATTCCATCTCGCCAGCCTGGTGAAGCTGCTGATCACCACTGACCAAGCACAGCACACGTGCCCATCACAGCAAACAGCTCCGCCAGCCAGCCGCGCACCAACACGGCTCCACCCCTCTCCGTGTCCTCACTTCTTCAGACTGGCCGTGAAGTCGCCACCATCCTCCTGGTCACGCCGCGGGCGCGCCGACCCGGCCGACGCCGGCGGCGGCGGCGGCAGCGGCGGCACCATGGGCGTGGACGCCACGCGGCCGGCAGCCGTGGCGAACTGCTCCAGGTCGCCCACCGCGAAGGACACCTCGTCAGAGAGCGGCACGAAGCCGGTCAGCTCGTCGTCGAACTGAAGGCGGGCGCGGGCGGCCGGCGCCTCCGCCTCCGGGGGCAGCGGCACGTCGACCGCGTCCACCAGACAGCCGGGCGGGTGGCGGCGCGGCGGCGGGGGCGCGCAGCCGGCCGGCGGCCTGTTCTCCTGGTCAGAGTCGTGGTCGTCGACGGCGGCCACGGCGCCACACTCGGTCGGATCCTCGCACACGACGAACGGCGCTGGCGGCGGCGGGGACTGGCTCGCCGGGTCCGGCTCCTCGTACACGGTGAACGGCACGGCGGCGGCGGCGGCGGCGGCGCGACCCACTGCCGGAGACGGCGCCAACTCAGCTGACCGAGTCCGCGCCGCGGCCACAACGGCAGCGGGACGCTAAACACCGTACAAAACTGGATGCAGGGTTCTGAAATCTGCGAAATGCGATGGGGAGGGGGAGGGGGATTTTCGCATGCAGGCAGTTGATTGGCTATTTGCTTACAGCTGTCCGGGCATCTCAGACACCCTTGCATTGAAGCCATCCATTGAGTAAATCCTGACTGGTGTCAGCAGCGTGTGTGCATTTATCACAATGACACACACAAGGAAAATATCGCATTAACAGCATGCAGATCCACACACATGAGAAACCACCAGTAACGTCATTCGGGGAGAAAACACCGCACCAAGCCTTGACGGGGCAACGTCCACTACGGCCAGAGCCGGGCTGGCCACCCAGCACCAGCCCCCACCGAGCAACCACAGCGCTGCCCCGCAGCCGGCGAGCCGGCACCGGCGGTGGCCAGACACTCACGGCTGCCGGACGGCCGCGGCGCCGGCAGCGACGTATCCACCGTCCTGTTGAGCATCTCGCGCACGCAGTTGATGGCCTCGCGCGTGTTGACCGTCGGCGAGGCGGCCACCGCCGAGCTGGAGAGGCTGTGACTGTTGTGACCTGGAACGGCGTCAGCCGAGCGAGGTCAGGTACAATCCCGGCCCGGACGGAACAAGCCATAGCAAACACAGTCGGATGGCCGCATCTCACTCACCCACCGCCCACCAAAAGACGCCGGTTGAGCCCGGCAAGTGCCCCGCATCAGGCGGCGCCAATCGCAGCCAGGCACCCCTGGCGCCGTCCGCCTGCCGCCCGCCCGGCCGCCGGGCACGAGCGAGGACCCCCGCCTCCGGACCGATGGCAGCACAACACACGGCCCGCATGGCCGCCGGGCACGAGCGAGAACCCCCGCCTCCGGACCGAGGCCAGCACAACACACGGCCCGGCCACAACACACCGCGCGCCACGCACCGGGCAGGCTGGACGAGCCGGCGCTGACGTTGGACGAGCCGAGGTGCGCGGACGAGCTCAGCGAGCCCTGCTGCGGCGCCGTCGGCAGGCGCGCCTTCAGCTCCAGCAGCTGCCGCTCCAGCTGCTCGTTTTTGAGCAGCACCTCTTCGTTTCTTCTGAGCACCTCCTCGTTCCTGCGCGCCATCTCCTGGAAGCTGCGCTGAATCTCCTCGGCTACCAGGCGCTGCTCCAGCACTGCAGCAGGCGCGGCAGGGGAGTGACGTCAGGCGTCGCGGGAGTGGCCCCAGGCGCTGCGGGAGTGGCGTCAAGCGCTGCGGGAGTGGCGTCATGCCCTGCGGGAGTGGGCTGCGGGAGTGGCGTCAAGCACCGCGGGAGTGGCGTCAGGCGCTGCGGGAGTGGCGTCAGGCGCTGCGGGAGTGGCCTCAGGCGCCGCGGCAGCCTTGGTGCCGACGCCTCAGAACGCAGCCAGCGTGGAGGCAGGCAGGCCGGCGGTATGCCCAGGTGTTGGCGACACAACAAAGCACGGTGTGCTCCATGACTAGCGGAAGAAATCAAACCAAACCACATTATGCAGCGCAGACTGCACAGCAAACCCGGTGACCAAAATCAGTAGCAAAGGAGAATACTGACGCAATTTGTTCTCCTTCTTCCATCTTGCGGCTCTGAGCTCTTCAAATGACACCTCCCCTGCGCCAGCGTAGATCTGGCGATGAGCAAAATAAGGCATCAGAGAGCAGTTGAGTCACTGACTGGGAGAGGGGGGGGAGGGGGAGGGGAGGAAGACAACAGCTGGAAGGTCTCTTTGGCCGGCGACCGGGAGGACCGCTTGGCCTTTACGGAGCACAGGGAGCACTGAGATACTCACTTTCAACAGAGAGCCACCGGCGCAACGCATCGCAAAGCGTGTCACGCAATCTCCAACCCACGCGAACACGATGTAAATCCAGCTCACAACGAACAAATAGAGCTACGACCACAGCACGACCCGACACCGCCAGCCGCGTCCAATCGCCCCGGTCCGACGCCTGACCGCCAGCGGCGCAGCTGAGCCAGCTCTCCGGCGGCGCTCACCACGTCCTTGCAGTACATGGCCTTGACGGCGTCGTTGGGCGGCTCGAAGACGGCGACGCGCGGGTTCCAGTCGGCATCGGCGCGCGGCGGCGGCGGGGCGCGCGCCGCCAGCGCGCCAGGGTTGGCCGTGATCGGGCTGCCGCGCGCCGCGCCCGCCTCCTCGTACACTGGCGGAGAGGGCGGGGCGGTGCTGAGGCGGCAGACACTCGGGCGATGGGGACGTGCGACACTCAGGAGGTGGGGACACGCGACGCTCGGGCGGTGGAGACGTGCGACACTCGGGCGATGGGGACGCGCGACACTCGGGCGGTGGGGGGGGGGGGGGGGGGGGGAGAAGCGTGCGACACACGGGCGGTGGGGGGCGCGCGACACTCAGGAGGTGGGGACACGCGACACTCGGGCGGTAGGGGCGCGCGACACCCAGACGGTGGGGGCGCGCGACACTCAGGCGGTGGGGGGGGGGGGGGTGAGGGGGGGGGGGGAGCGTACGACACTCGGGCGGTAGGGGGAGTAGCGTGCAACACTCGGACGGTGGGGACGCCCACTGTCTGCCACTGAGAGGGTGTCAATGGAGCCAGGGGTCGTGAGAAGCGGGTGCTGTAATTAGACCTGATTCTATGTCAACAGCTTAGATTAACCTATCCTCAAGACTGAAGAACGGGAAAGGACATCAGAAGCAAATACTATCCCGCACTCACGGACAGGGCATCACGTTTGGTGAGGTCTGCACGGCACCACAGACCGACGGGTATTCAACTGTCGTGATTGACGTTCGGGACGCTACGCTATGGAGTCGCTTACCTGTCACCCGCGCGGGAAGGGCGGGCACCGCGGGTAATGCAACTCCATACACCTAGTTAGCAACATGTGCAGTCTACTACCGGGATCCCAGATGCCTTAACAACCACCAATTCACTTTTGGAAACTACCTGTGTTGACGTACAACTGCGGGCAACGGCGACAAACACGAGCAGGCAGGCACAAACGTATGGATCGACACGTTTGCATGGATATGACGTGAGTCACCGAGCCCCAGCACCCACTTGCGTCATTCTGGTTCGCAGCCGACGTTCTTCCCACCGGGACACCCGAACCGAGCGGTGACCTACCTCTGAAAGCGGGCGCTGCCGGCGGCGGCGGCGGCGGCGGCGGCGGCGCGCGCTTCGTGGCCGCCGGCGGCGCTCCCCACGGCCCCGCCTTGCGCACGTTCTCCTTGTGCACGGCGCGCGCGGTCGGCAGCGGCGCGGCGCCGACGCCAGCGCCCGTGGGCGCGGTCGGCGCCGCGTTCTCGTCCACGTACACGTGCAGGCGATGGTTGGCGGCGGGCGGCGGCGCGGCGCAGGGCAAGCCGCCGGGCCGGCCCGCTAGCGCGGCGCCCACGCGCTGGCGCGGCACCTCGCCGTCGGCGCCCTCTGCCGGCAGACGCGCGAGCAGGCTACAGCGGCCCGGTCCGGCCACAGGTCTGAGCCCGGCGGCCGGTCTGCCCGCCGAGCTCACATACGCAGCTAATCCAGGCATGGCACGCAAGAGAGCTCGACTGAGACGACGTAAACAGGCATGCGGGAGCCTGTTGTGACCAACGACAAATAATGCGTCTTTGAATGTACACAAAACACTATGGTGAAGATCGCAGTTTTCGAGCGCTACTGTGATCACTGCCCAGAAAGTCCAACAAAAACAAAAACACTATCTCTTCTCAGAATACGAAGAAAAAAACAATACGCGAGGTAAAACGAAAAGTGACGAAGCGGCGATCACATACAGGTACGCATATTAACCGCCTCATAACACTACCTAAGAAAAGATTATATAAAAGGTATCAACATCGGTCAGCAGGCAGCGCGCGGTGAAAGTCAGCCCCCTCCCTATTCCTTGCCGTCCCCTCCCGGTGACCGACCTTTAAGCAGTCCCAGCGCCTGCCGCTCGTCGCCAGCGCTGGTCCGCGCGCGCGGCGGCGTGCTCAGCGTACCAGCGGCCAGCGCGCTGGCCACGCGCGTCTGCAGCTTGCGGCGCGCCTCGGCCAGCGCGTCGGCCGGCTGGGCGCCACATCGCTCACCCTCGGCCAGCACCTTGTCCGCGGCGCGCACGTTGCCTGCGGGCGCGGGGAGGGCGAGGTCGGGTCGGGCTGGGCTGGCGCGGGCCGGCGCCGGGGGGTCCGGTCACCCAACGCCCCCCCCCCCTCCGGAGCACGCGCACCGGCAGCCCGGGAAGCAGGCTTTGTACAGCGACAGCGGCCCGTGCGCAAGAGCGGCCGCACATCCAAAGGATACCAGGCGAGACATACCAAACAGTGATCAGATCGCGGCGTGCGTAGCCGGAACGTTCCCATGACACGTCCCATCATCCCCATACGCCGAGAAACGACGGCACGGTTCGCCGGCATGAAGCCGGCAGCGGGAGCCGGAGCCGCGGGGCCCTCGGCGCGGCACCGGTCCGGCCGGACGCCGCCGACACCCACCGCCGAGCTCGTACTGCGCCGCCCAGGCCGTGTAGAAGGCCGTCAGCGAGGTGCCGATGCTGCGCTGGAACATGCACTGGAAGATCTCCTGCGTCTTCTGCGAGCTGCACGCCTGGCGAGACGCGGGGGCGGGACGGTGCGGGACCGGGTCAGCCGCGCGCGCGCGCGCGCCCCGGCAACGGCACAAGGCCCGGCGCGTGCGGCCCTGCCGTCGCGCGGTCACCACAGACACGGACGTCGGTGCAAGACCCGAGCGTCGCCGCTCCAACGGAACACGCCAAATGGCCACAGCAAAGCGTCAGTCGGGGAGGCACGCAAGTATCGCAGCTGTAGTGTAATCCTCCGCGCTGCGCTAGGTGTGTGCCCCAGCAGCCCGGCACGTCGTCCAAAAAATTTAATCGGAATACCTGCTGCCACTGCCCTGTGCATAGCGTGGTTCTGCCAAATATCACGACGTTCTTGCCTTAGCTGGTCACCAAGGCCGCCAAACATGCCACTCGCCCCCACCCCACCCCCAATAAACAACACCAAAGCCAACCCCTCCCAAATCATCCAAGCCACCGCACACAGCACACCCCCGTCTCAGGCACGACACCGGCGGTCAGCAGCCAGCCGGCCGGCCGCCGTCGCCGTCGCCGCCGGGCACTCACCAGCCGTATCCAGAGCGAGACGTAGCGCGGGTCCTGGTGGTAGCGGCGCTCCTCGTGGAACTTGGTGATGCACTGCTCCAGCAGGCCGTCCAGGTTGCCCTCGTGGCCGCCGCGCGGACAGTGCTGCTCCATCCAGAGCACGTACTGGTACCAGGGCGCCAGCGGGTCGTCCCCGCTGTACGTGCGGATCTCCAGCTCGAACGCCCTGCCGGCCGGCGGCGCCGTCAGCACAGCGGACCGGCCACCAGGTGTGCCACAACACGGCTCAGCGGCGCGCCCCGTACGCCCGTCATAAAGCCATGTATATCTACCTATCTTGGCCACACTTTTGAACAGCAAATAAGTATTCCAGAACACACATAACACAATCCTATCTCGAATCGTGTTGAGGCCATCAGGGACGATGCGTTACAGCAACGGCACCTGGTAGCGATACTCGCATCGCTCGGTGAGGCGTACAATCCTCCTGTCGGCAGCGGCTCTGACAAGCGGCGACGCCACTGGTCAGCGCAGCCGACGCCGCTCACCTGCGCTGCTCGGCCACCTTCTGCGCCGTCTGCTCGTCGCCGGCGGTCTGCAGCGACGAGTTGAGCGCGGCCACGCGGCGGCCCTGGCGCAGCGGCTGCACGTTCTCCTTACTCAGCTCCCAGTCGGAGCCCTCCTGGCCGGCCCACATGACGGCGGGCCTGTCGGCGGCGAGGAGCCGTCAGAAGCCGAGCCGCGGCCAGCCGCACACACTCAACACACATCAGTGCACTGTCTAATGGTGTATGCTTGTGTTGATACAGGCACACATTTAAGCTCTGGATATATAAAGCAAAGGAAATTCACATTAAGTGCAACTTGTGCAATTGAAATGAACTGTCATTTAGCATGGACAAATGAATGAATCAATTATTTGGGGAAGGTTTAGTCAGAGTATTTCCTTAGCACAGGACAGCATATGGCTAAGGTTCTGTCTTAATCCAGAAAACACAATGTCCCTTTGGGGAGGAGGGGCTCAAACAAATGCTAGATAGGGGCTGACAACCAAGACAGGCAAGCAACAATCTCCAGAACAGCCCTGTGCATGCAGTACATCCAGGATAAAGCTCACTGAAAGTTGAGTAATCCTAATAAAAACACTTCAAACATCAGCACAGCCACAGTACCATGTAAACAATGCAGCCCTATCACTAGCACATGACAATCACATCATCAGCTTCACAAAAAGCACAACCAGAACATGCCATTGCACGACCTCTTGCATGTTTTTTTAGTATCAAGTAGTCTAAATGCCCTTAATCAACAAGGAAAATTGCTATGCCTCTCAATTCCATGACTTCATTTTATACTTCTTAGGTGCAAACCCCAAAGCTCTTGGCACATAATTTGAGTCTATTCAACCTGTCATTTGGTGGGGGGTGATGTCATCCAATGCAACAAGTAAACCCCTTAAAACACAATACAAAGTAAAAATAAAGCATGCTAGATGCACATAGCCATCACTCTTGTGCATATGGTGAAACCTCTTTTTATGATTTGAGCACACTCAAAAACATAACTGCAGCAATTCCCGGCTTTGCAAGTCATGATTTGTTATGCAACTTCAGAAACAGCAGAGCTGTGCTCTGAGCAGATCAAGCCTGATCACAATTCTTGATGCAGCTTGAGGAACCTTCTCAAGCTAGAAACATAGAGCTTTGCATTGCCAACAACCTGCTACCTGACCTCTAACTTTGGTTGCTCGCACTTCAGATATAGACAGCATGAGAGTACAAACTGCCAGGTTCACTCTAGTATGTCATCAAGTGGGATAGTCTGCACCAAAAATAATATTCTGCAGCAGATGCAGGAAGCATCAATGCATTGAATGACACCAGATCATGTGTGCTGAATTTACACATTTTTGGAAAAATCATGCTTTCAGAGTACATCTAAAAAACTACCTTAGCAACATCATAATTCAGTGAAATAAAATATGTGCATAGCCATCATTCATTCATTCTCTCTAAGCTGACATGGGTGGCAACAATGTACAACACTCTGAGCACTTGGATTTACATCATAAATGGACAAAACTCATTGCCCCTGAGCTGGACATGTTTGGCAAACATGTGTATTTGCAGACTGGCACATAAACATGCAAGCGTGCCATCAAAACCCAACATGCAAAGAAGCAATGGGGAAGACAAAATAAAATAAAAAGGCACACATAATGGTAACTTGAGGAGGCCAGACAAGCCAAGTACAGTAATGCAGGCCAGAAACAATGCTTTGTTTTTGTTTAAAGGGTTTACAGATGCACTGACTGCAGCAGTCATTTGGCACCCACAGAAGCAATACCTCTGGAGTGAGAGCAAGCACATCAAATCCAGAAGTGGTTGGCAATCACACATGAAATATTAAACTAGTTCAAACCCAGCCTGAGGTCACACTGGGAACGACTCAGAAAGGGCACTGTAGCCAAGGCTAGCGCAATTTAATTTATCAGGATCTCGATAGGAGCTCAAACAGCCTGGTGGCATTCTAAATCGCGCGCTGGGTAAAGTGGAGGGCGGATTGAATGATTCATGATCGGGCAACAGGAAATATATCTCTAGGAAACCTAACGGAAATGAATTACCTTAAAATCACTTATTAAAACAAAAACTACCACACCCTTCCAGAAACGTCCCCGCTGCACAGCAAATAAACGACGCCCAAACACTTCCACGATGCTCTTGTAGAAGTACACGTTTAAATTAGAGAAGGATTCGTGTCCTTTGCTTGCCTGGGTACCCGACAATTTTCCAAGCCTTTATATACGAATTTCAGGCCAAATTCATCAGTCATAGGTATTAACCACGAATACAAAGCTAAATACGTATCTGTCTTTAATTTTTCCTAGTTTTATAAACTTCAGATACGAAAATACACGAATCAATTATGCTGTCTACGTGGGTTTGCTATCATCGGCTTCATGGTAATGACTTAGAGCGATAAACTATCAATATTTATGAATGTTTAGCATGTATTTTTAGCTTTGCAATTCTGCGGGCTAAAAGGACAGTCGTAGCGTAGATCACGTATTTATACTTCCCGGACGTTTTGCAGAGGCGTTCCATCTCTTTATGTTTGAAACAGTTTGGTCCAAAACATGGCGGATGCGACGTATACCGTCGGCGACCCTGTATGGTGAGTTGCACTTCCACTTAAGTTTTCTGATCATCTTAAGTATTTGCCACTATGCTTTTATAATTTTTAGCTCCACAGCGCTCAGTTTGCAGTGTGTTTCTTCCTGTATTTGTAGTAATATATCCGTGGGGACAAATATGGCGCTATTGCTTCTTTGCATTGCTGTATTATTTCGTGATGCTTATGGGTAAATGGGGCCTGTTGGAAGAATGTTCAGCTAAAGCCACTGTTCATATAGATGACCTATGTACTTTTAGTTGGCTAGCACATTTATTGTACACAATTCATGAGCATGGTCTCTGCTAAACATTTGGTTTGAGCTTGGGAAAACAATAATAAGGAGGCATAATGCATGTTGTGAGCAGGTGCTTTTCCGAAGTAGGTCATTCGCCTGAACTGTCAATCATGAACTGAATATTTTTCAACATTGTTTTTAGTCTAGTGTCTGGACTATGCTTTTTTTTTACCTGAAACATGCAGTCCTTTTTTGCTGAAATGTAATTGCTTCCCAAGTTAGGGAAAATCATGGTGTTTTCTGGTCATTTTTTCACTTGATGCTCTAAGTGTTAATGCTGAATGTTCAGAAAGAAAGTGAGCCTTGTTCCACCAACCCATTCTGTTAAGAAACCATCCATTACCTGGAACAGCAATCTTACATTGGTACATTGAACCTCTCGCATGCATGAGACAAACATGAGGCCAAATTTTGCTGAATGCTTAAATGATGTTTGCACAAATTTGGTTCTGCTTTGCTTAAAATTGTTTTTGCAGCATTACAATTTCAAGGAGCATGAACTCTTTTTATGCTAAAATTGCTAGAAGCAAGGTACCTGACTGGGTTGGCTGACAAATGGTGAACATGCTCTGGAATTGTTGCTCTGATATTGATGCTATGCCAGACAGGCTATAAATAATTGTCTTAATGATATTCTGTTTCCTGGCCTTCTGTTATTTACCTACCTATTCATTACTTTTAATTTATTTGGTGCACAAAATGTTTTCTGGCATCATTTGTGAAGGGTGTGAAAGTTCTGCTTTTGGGGAGTGGTTTTAAACCTGTATTTATATCCATCTGAAGCCAGAATGGTAACAAAATCTGGCATATTGTTGCAACATTTTTGCAATGCTTTTATTGTAACATTGTTCCATTTTTTTATGAAAGCATTGCAGGTATTTTACCTGCCTGTGATATGTGTTATGCCAAAAGTTTACAAATCTTTGAAGCTCACGATGCTACCTTTGTAAAGAAAGGCACCACATTTCCTGCAGTGAGTGCTGTGCTTTCCTTACATGTGCTTAGGACATATTTTTTAAGAACCAATCCTGTTATCTATTTAGGCAATGCTGGGCCCAGAGAAATGACAGGATGGGGTCCAAAAAATTGAATATTGGTGTATCAAGTTATCCCCAAGAATTGTACTTGGTCATTAGCTGACCTACAAAATATATCATGCTCTTTGATTGTGCATATCTCAAGAATTTCAATATAGCTTGTATAAGTTTTATGCTTGAAATGTCTCAAAATATGGAGGTGTTTGTCATTTTATAAGTTGAGGAAGCTTAGACAAGCAGACAAGTTAAACTTTTGAACTATTTGGAAAATCTATTCCTGGACTTCTGCCTTGGGCCCAAGCAATACTGATGAATGCAGCATGCATTGGAGGAACCTAGCATTTGAGGGCAGTCACAAAGCATGTCTACCCTCAACAAACAATTTCTGCCTTACCAAACAATTCTGTAGATGACAGGGGCAGGTTGTTGGTTTGTTTAGTAATCTAGAAGGGCCTGAAACTGACAAAAGGATTACTCCTGGAAAAGGCAGGTATTTTTCATTTCTATAGCATGTGGCCTGCCAGGTCTTATGCAAGGGCTATGACCCATCCCTCTTATCCTCTATTTTGCTTTATCCTGCATCCTCGCGACACACCACTCGTCCTGGGCAGGCTGCTTGTGTCAGCCATGAGTGGGCTGAGAGCCCTGTGGGAAGAGGAACCCTGACCAGGCACCCAGCATGCATGGGGTGGTTAAATCTCGGTGGTTGGCCCCCCAGGCACATGCAAGCTTGCTCCACTTTTCACCATTTTCCTTCATCTCATAGCCCTGAAATGATCATTTGTGGTCAAAAGGGCTCTAATGAAAACAAAAAACAAATGCCTTATTCAAATCCTGTATATACTTTAGTATATACAGGATTTATATACCTGTATATACTTATTATGTATATACTATAAATACTTTAGCAGGTGTCCAGATTTGGTGCAATGACTCCCACAGTGATGCACCCAGGTGTGGCTATTTTGAATTGCATTGAGTTGGATGTCAAAGATGTCGCTACAAATTAATGCTCCCAGACCTCTGCCTCCTCTGCTGTCTCTACCTGCACCATGTTATAAATGTTTTGTTTGATGCTGATATTTTGCCCTTTGACCCCAAACCTTGACATCCTGACCCACCCACCCAGTTTGCCAAGCTGTAGGTGTCTAGATAGATACTGTGTTGACTGCCATCAGGCTCAGCCATAATTGGCCAATCCTGAGTGTTGGGGAGCAGCAGTAGGTGGTATACCCTGAAGCCTGGAAATTAAGCCCAGAGTGCAATAATTTGAGAACCTCTGCTAATTTAACATTATTTGCTTATTGCTGGAGCCTCCATCCATCATCTGCTTGTGTTGATATGTCCCATCAGATGCCTCCCTCAGTTTTCTCTGGCAATCAGTGATTTGTATATATATTGATTAGATCATACATGGAGTGAAGTCAGATGTCAAGGAAGATAACACTTTGGGGAAGCAGCTTGTGTTTTTAGCAGCTGAGTTTATGGAAATATGTTGTGGGGGCTCACATCATTTTGAGGTCAATCATAAATGCCTGTGCCATGCTGAAGACACCTTGCATACTGTTGGACATTCCAGTATGCTCTGGCATGGTCATGGGTGTTTGCAGACATACCAGAGGGAGCATTGTAAGAATAAGGCCTTTATGTGAGATCTGGTTTGTTGGAAACAATTTGACTTGTGGCTGCAATTTTGCAAATGGTTGTGGACAGGCTAGGGCATTGGAAGATTGAGAACTGCTCTCAGTGGCATGTTTACTTGCTTGGAAACAATTGCACATATTTATAAAATGGAATGTTTGCAGTGATTTTTCTGCCAAGGGAAACATGTCCTCTCTCCTGCATAGGGAGATTCAGAGGTATATTTCCTGCCAAGCACAAGTGTGTCATGTGTTGGTGTGCACAGGTTGTCATGTGACATGTATTTTTCCTGAAATGCCATCTGCAAGGGCTCTGATGACACTTATGCTGTTTTTTCCACAGGGCAAAACTGAAGGGCTTTTCTCCATGGCCTGGAAAAGTGAGTATGCCAGTGTTTGGTCAGGTGACCTCAGACAGCCGGGCTAATGGTCAGGTGACGTCAGACGGCTGGGCTAATGGTCAGGTGACGTCAGACGGCCGGGCTAGTGGTCAGGTGACGTCAGACGGCTGGGCTGATGGTCAGGTGACGTCAGACGGCCGGGCTAGTGGTCAGGTGAAGCCAGACGGCCGAGGTTATGGTCAGGTGACGTCAGACGGCTGGGCTGGTGGTCAGGTGACATCAGCCGGCCGGGCTAGTGGTCAGGTGACGTCAGACGGCTGGGCTGGTGGCCAGGTGACATCAGCCGGCCGGGCTGTCCTGAGTATGGCATTGGATTGCGCTGTCGCAGCGAAAATCTGACGGTGACCTGGAGGTTCACGATCGGGCGGCGGCGAGGCACAAACAAGCACATGTGACCCGGAGGTTCACGATCGGGCGGCGGCGACGCACAAACACGCACATACAAACATCTGTATGTAACAATATTCGCTGTAACTGCGATGGTAATATTTCTTGGTCGTTGACGCGAAATGAAATCCATCTTAACGAGTATATTTAACTGTTCCGCGTATCTGGCTTACTGATGGTGTCGCACTGAGAAAGCTACAGCTTTGCTGAATGTTATGCCTCTACACTTGTACAGAAGTCCACCACTCAAGCTGTGATGCTGCCTCCTGTCGTGCATAAAGGGCCGTGAGCTTTGCTCCAACAATGCTTTTGTTTTTGTTTTCCAGATTGCCCAAGCTCCAGATCATCTAAAAACGCCATCAAAGAAGAAGGGCTTCTGTGTTTATTTCTTTGGGACGGAAAACTAGTGAGTTGGTTGTTTCCTTTGGATGGAATGTCAGATGTTCCGGGATTGAATTGTCCGAAATGTGAATTGATGTGTTCCAATGAGATTCAAAGGTGTTCAAAATGGATATGGATGTCAAAGGTTCTGTAAGCATTGGTTTCTCACTAATCCTCCTTTCTTTTCAGCGCTTTCATCGAAACACAATTTATCAAACCGTTTTTGCAACACAGAGAAAAGCTCGCCAAAGCCAATAAGTCAAACCAATTCAAAGAGGCACTGTTAGTCATTGATGAATATCTCAGGAAGAGAGAAGATGGTGTTGTAAGTAATCAGTTTGTAAAGTAACCAGTATTTGAATCCAGGCTGCGCAATAGCCAGTACGGTCACCAGTGTTGCATGCATCTATTTTTAGCCCAACATCAAGATCTGATGTCGGGGGAAGTAGCACCAAAGCTGAGGATTCGCCCCCCATGGTGATGTATTAATCTGTTGTCCTGTTTCACTGGCTGGTGGTCCCTGTCCGTGCATGCGTTGCAGACCACCGTGAACGTGATACACTCCAGGTTGTCACGTTGTCACGCATACGTCACGTTGTGTCCAACGGCAGACGGTCGCGCGCTCTGTTGCTTAGCAGTGCTGTCCAGCGGCCGTGTGACCAAGAGTAGCGCGGTCGCCGCTGTGCTATCGCCGCCGCCGACCGGGCGCCGCTGCCTTGCGCCGCGTCAGCCTCCGACGGCTCCCGCAGGAGGACGCCCCGGAGGGTAACGGCGATGCGACGGCGGCGGCGACGGAGCCGGCCAGGGAGGGCGCCGCCAAGTCCGCCGCCGAGAAGCCGTCCGGCACGCCCTCCGCCAAAAAGACGGCCGCCGACAAGTCGGCCGCCGAGAAGGCCAAAAAGCGGAAACCCAGAGAGACGAAGGTGAGCGGTCCGGCGCGCCCGGGAGAGCCGAGCCGAGCCGACCAGACATGTTTAGGGGGGGGGGGGGGAGGTGCCGGGGAGGTGCCGGGTAGGTTTGTTTACCGCTGCAGTTGGTCTTTAGTGAACGGGTAACAGCGTATCTTCGTGGTCCGAGAGGTTCAGGTGTCACGCTGCTAATATATGTCGGCATCAACGTGGGTGATGGCATCATTGCCCTGGAATGACAGGTGTAATTGGTGATCCATGTTGGAGTCACGTTAAATGTAGGGCGTTTTTTACATGTAGGCATGCTTACTCTAGCACTACACCAGCACCGTTACACCAGCACTCAGCTGTATTCAATTATTCTTTAATTCTGGCACTCGTGTTATTCTGCAAGCGACATGGATCGTGGTTGGTGTGTGTGTGCCTGTTTCCGACGGTGTGCTTATGGTCCGTTTCTCTGCCCGCTCTTGCCCGCGGCAGTGACTGTGGCTGCCGTGCCTTTGTGGACCGGTGACCCCCGCTACTGTGTCTGTGGCGCGGTGACTGCTGTGGTATCAGCGCATATGTGACCCTCCCTCCTGCTGTGTGCCCATGAAGCGGCTGCTCCTACTGCTGTTTGGGTAAATGCCGTTCTCTTGTCACGTACACAGTGTTTTAAGACGCATGGCTCTTGCTGGCTGAGTGGCAGGAACAGGAAAATACCACTGGAATGGACTGAAAGAGAGAAACTGTCAAAGAAAGTGTTGCGGGAGAAAACGAAGATCACGAGGAACGAGTTGTTGATTAGGGTATTGGTATGGTTGCCTCCTGCCACCCATGAGTTCCCCGGACTAGGCGCCCGCGCGGCCGCCGACCAATCTCAGCTCCTCGACGGCGGCGCCCCTGAAACAGGCGGATCTTTTGGTGATTCGGGGTCTCGGCGGCGGGGAGGGCCGGAACCGACTGGCCGCACCGCTGGTGTAGAGAACGGCCCATCTCCCGGCCGCCTTGGCGAGGCGCGGGCTCCGGGTTAAGCTCCGATGGTTCGGTGGCGTGACAGCGCGGCCTCATCCCCCTCACGCCCCAAATTACGAGCGTTGAATCACGGCGCCTCGAGAGTACTGGACTAAAATTCAGTCCGTTCACTCATTAAGTTTTATCAACCGCCCGTCAATCGCTGCCCATCGCCATCGCCGGGTGCTGCATTTTAATAAGCCTAAAACAACAGAGGTTGTGGCAAAGCTAGGTATATGATCTTCCGCGATAACTAAACCGCGCGAAGCTCTCGGAAGAGTGAGACCGACGCATGAGCGCCGGCCGATATAACCTTGCTCAACCCCCCCGCCCATCTCGCCCATGGGTGAGCTGGTGACTCCTTCCGCTGTGTCTCTGTGAACCGGTGACTCCCTCCGCTGTGTCTCTGTGAACCGGTGACTCCCTCCGCTGTCCCTCTGCGAGCAGGTGACTCCTGCCGCTATGTGTCTGTGAGCCGGTGACTCCCCCTCCGCTGTGTCTCTGTGAGCCGGTGGCTCCCGCCCTATTCCCCATGTGAGCCAGTGACTCCCGCCGCTGTGCCCCTGCAAGCCGGTGGCTCACCCTCCGCTGTGTCTCTCTGAACCGGTGGCTCCCGCCCTATTCCACATGTGTGTCAGTGACTCCCATCGCTGTTTTGCTGAGCTGGTAACCCCTGTACCAGCCTGCGAGCCGGTGTCTTCCGCTGTTGTCTGGGTGGGCCGATTACCCCCTCTGTCGTCTCTGTTGTGAGCCGATGGCAGCTATTTGCCTCCGCCGCCAGGATAAGAAGCCGGCCGTGAAGCGAGTGGCCTCGGACGCCACCATCTCGCCGGCGCCCAGCCCGGCCAAGCGCGCGCGCGAGCCGGACGAGGACAGCGACCCGTTCACGTCGCTGATGAACCACAGCTCGTCGACGACGGCCGGCACCAAGCGGGTCGCCTCGCTGCTGGACCGGCCTACGCTGGTGATGCGCCCGGTGAGACGGCCGCCCTCCGGGGGCGCGAGGGTACTGGCGGGGAGCGGGCGGGGGTGACGGCCGCCCTCCCCCGGGGCATGAGGGTACTGGCGGGGAGCGGGCGGGGGTGACGGCCGCCCTCCCCCGGGGCATGAGGGTACTGGCGGGGAGCGGGCGGGGGTGACGGCCGCCCTCCCCCGGGGGCATGAGGGTACTGGTGGGGGCCGGACGGGGGCGACGGCCGCCATCCCCCGGGGCATGAGGGTACTGGTGGGGGGCCGGACGGGGGTGACGGCCGCCCTCCTCCGGGGGCATGAGGGTACTGGTGGGGGGCCGGACGGGGGCGACGGCCGCCCTCCTCCGGGGGCATGAGGGTACTGGTGGGGGCCGGACGGGGGCGACGGCCGCCCTCCTCCGGGGGCATGAGGGTACTGGTGGGGGCCGGACGGGGGCGACGGCCGCCATCCCCCGGGGCATGAGGGTACTGGTGGGGGCCGGACGGGGGCGACGGCCGCCCTACTCCGGGGGCATGAGGGTACTGGTGGGGGCCGGACGGGGGTGACGGCCGCCATCCCCCGGGGCATGAGGGTACTGGTGGGGGCCGGACGGGGGCGACGGCCGCCCTCCTCCGGGGGCATGAGGGTACCGGTGGGGAGCGGACGGGTGACGGCTGCCCTCCCCCGGGGGCATGGTGGCGCGAGGGTGCTGGCGAAGAGCGGACGAGGGCGACGGCTGCCGTTCATGATCACAGATTCATCCAGTTGGCGGCAAAAATGTTAATATATACTGGTGCTACTGGAGCTCCTGTGGGGCTTGTGTGATGTTGCTCTTTCCCTCCCTCGAGATCCGCCAGTCAACATCGACTTGAGGACATTAGCAAACGGGACGTTTACAAATGGGAACCCGCTCACCGCATTTTGGTTTATATACCTCCAGCCAGCACGGCTAGGCTGGCGTTGTCTGGATCTTCACTGAGTGGGTTCCGTTAAGCTACGGCGGTGGACAACGTAGGAGGTTCAGCATGGCGACCGGCTACCCTTCCGTGTGTCACAGTATTGGTGTCCCTGTGGCATGTCATGACAAGAGACGCGTCGCTTTACGCGGAGGGTCAACCGCACGGAACGCATTCGACGGGTTCCATATAGCTTGTGCGGCACTGTCGAGCAAGGCGACGGCGTTGTGGTTGGAATAAGCCTGCATGGCTGATGGGTGACGTGGGGTCAAGGGATTGAGACATGACCCGCCATAGGTGCCGGCGTCGAGACGTGGTGCCGCTCGTCACAGGCAGCGCCTGGTGGACGCGCGAGTACACGACCAGAGGCACCCTGAACAGTATTGCCTTGATGACGATAATCGGCAGAAGCAGTGCTAAGTAGCGTGTCTCGTTCGACCTCGGCGCCAGCACGACTCAAGCGTGCGTGAGTGGTGTGACTGCGGTCGGCGTCGGTAGGCAGCGACTGACGCGGGCGCCGCTGCCGCAGGAGACGCCGCCACTGGACGTGGAGCAGGTGTCTGCAGCACTGAAACAGAAGAACATCCAGCCGTCCGACCTGCGCTTCGGCGTGCTCGGCCTGGGCGTCATGGGCTCCGGCATCGTCAAGAACCTCCTCAACTCGGGCCACAAGGTGCACGTGTGGAACCGCTCCTCCGATAAGGTGGGTCGGTAGGCGGCGAACTCCGCTGACGGCGGTGGTCCGGTGGCGGCCACGGGACCAGCGGGGCTGGGGACGGCCGATAGGAGTGCGGCAGGCGCTGTCACGAGCCCGGCGGGGCTGGTAACGGCCGGTGGGGTGTGCAATGGGCAACGCCACGGGACCAGCGGGGCTGGGAGCGGCCGATGGGGATGCGACAGACGCCGCCACAGGACTAACGGAGCTGGTGACGGTCGAGTCACGCCTGCGGCCTCAACAGACCATTGCCTGTCCCAGGCGCGTCAGTTCGTGCGAGGAAGTTGGAAAACAACGTTGGTCGATAAAAAACACGTTTGACTGCAGGTGGAAGATAGAATCAGAGTGTTTGACACAAGAGGAGGATCAAACAGAAGGCCAGGGTAGCCACAACCCAGTGCTCTCTCGCAAAACGTGTAGTGTGGTGGTTGTGTCGTTCTTGTCTTTGGGAGGGTCTCAGGCAGGTTGCAGTCGTAGTTCAACCGTGGGACATCCATCCTGGTCCGTTATGATGACGCCTTCGTTTTCGAGATTCATGACATTCAGCCGCAATGCTTTATAAAATCACATATTGCACAGCCACACTTTTTTGAAGCAGGATTGCAATGGAAAATTTCCCCTTTTGTGTAGAGGAGGCAAAAATTAAGATTGCCCATCGGCGACCCCGCCTTGTTTGTATCGTTTGACGTCTCTTTCGTTTGGCAATCGAATTTCCATCGTTTTATGGTCTCATCTCTTTGCAACCTGAGTAGTCGAACAAAATGGCCGCAGCAGCTGGCGCGACGCTAAAAATCCGAACATTACTGTTGTGGTTGTCTCACATGCCAGTAATAGCCCAATACCTAGCTATTAGAACCTCATGATCCCTAGTAACGTATTGGCTTTCTACAGCAACATACGTGCTATCAATTGCTGACAGGTCGCCTTGGTCTGATCGTGCTGAGATCGGGCGTATTGGTTCGATCTTATTGAGAGATCGGGCGCATCAAGAACGGTTCGGAATCCCGTTTTTCCTAGGCTGGTGGAAATCCGCCTTATGAAAGTATTGTGTGCCCGTACAGGCTGAGGACAAGAGAAGTCACCCCACCTTTGCATGGTTTTCATTACCAAGCGACAATAATGCTATGACCAAAGTGCTGCCATCTTTTGGGGTATCACTGCAGGTACTGTCATATTCGAGAGCACCATTTGATTGCCCCTCAGGGCGCTGGGATAAGGCAAAAGGCTCGTGGAATTATGGTAGGTTAAAGATCGAAGATTTTTTGAATGGAAAGGATTATAAGGAGATGACATAACTTTCGGGGGATTTAACCCCCCGCAATATTGTGTATCGATGGGACGATCTGAAATGCTGTTGCCACCAGCATCTGAAATTTGGTTTTGGCTCTTGGGAGAGAGAACAAAAATATTGAAATCACGGCTTGCAGTGAGAACAAAATGACCCAAGTGCATTTGCACTGCATTCACAGCTGGCACTAAAGGACATTTTTGGGCAGCAGATGACAGTGAACGCCATGCTCAAGCTGGTCTCAGTAATTGCCAAAGACCGGTAGAAATTGGCTGCTTGCAATTCTTAAACTTTCTAGTTTCCTAAGTAAGTGCTTCCTTCCTAAGTCTATGCTTGCACCTACTGTATTTTTTAAGCTATGGAGCTGATAGGAATGTGTTGATATTGATAATTCTATTGTAAAGAAGTCAGGCTTAATAAAGGCTGATAGAGGCAGATGCTTAAAGCGTTGTGCACCTGTTGCACTATTCCCCAGAGCACATAATGCCAAGTTTATGACTGAAATGTCATGCAAGCCACAACATAAATGAGAGCATCTGGGGCATTGTAGTTAGTGCATCTTCTATTTTAGTTTTCTATGATATTTGGTTTAGTTTTAGTTTTTAGTTAAGTCTCAGTTTTCTATTCTATTTTAGTTATTCAGGTTCTATGATAGTGCAGCTTCAATTCAGGAACAAGTGTGCAGTTCCTAATTTAGTTGGATAGTATGCCAACCCCCCCCCCCCCAAACTTGAGAAAAAAACTGGGTCAAAGTCAGTGAGAACATGGGTTACACCATTTGTTTGGGATAAAAGATTTCTCTACTCACCCGCTCCATCAAGTTACGTACAAAGCTACACCACCTGGGACGCCAGGCTGCTGCGTGATCGGGGCTCGGAGGCCAGCGCAGCAGGGGCGGAGGAATTATTTAATCCTCACAGAGCAATCCAGTTGCATAAGGTTATCATCACTACATCTGCTCACCGGCGTGGAGTCTGATACAATAGTTTTCTCGTTGTATGACAGTGAACTAAATTTATATATTGCCTTTATCCACACCACCGACCAATCGCGCTACCACCCCAGCTCGCGCGGCTCCTCCAAAACAAGTCGGTAGGCTACGTAAATGGCGCGCACGCAATAGCCGGCTTCAACGACAGAGCCTCTTTTGGTTATTCATCGGTTTTGATATTGCTTTTTAGGACCTTATTGATGTAAAAAATATTGGTCGGCAAAACCCGACTGAAACCAAAGGGAGGTATCAAAAACGTAAATAATGATATAAATGCACCAGCAAAAGTTCTCCTCAACGGAGAACAAGAAACTCTGCTTTAGCTTTGTACTCGGATCATGATTCTGTGAGGACGCTCTGTAGATCGATAGAAGAAAATCCATGCTTTTGTTTGATGACCATTTTATGCATTTTCATCCTGTATGCGGCCCGGATTTCTTAGTGGAGAATGTGCCTTCTCTGCAATGCTAAATCCTCCCCAAGAGCGGGAGACTAGCGGAGCCGTGGTTTTCCGCGTGCTCGAGTGAGTGTTTGGGATGACGTTTGACGTCACCATTATATGCTCTATACATATCCATTTTTGATAGTTTCCGATACAATTTTAATATAAGTACTACCTAAAAAGAAGGAAAAAATACCTTATTCATCAATATATTATGGAGTCGCCTTATAGTTGAAGGTACATTTAAGTGTGAAATCAAATACTTTCGTATCCATTTTTCTTGTGTTTCTATTATGTTTAAGTGCAATCCAGAAACGTTGAATCGTGCCGTGTACCATATCTTCTGTGCGCCTCCCCCTTCTCCGTCAAGAAACACTGTTGTTTTGGGTGCGGACTTGTGCCCGGTGTATGGGCGCGTTGGTGTCGTTGTTGGACGGTAGGTGAGTTTAAACAAGTGCTGGTGAGCAGCAACAGACCTGGGCACTGAATGCATTGCAAGGAAAGATTATGCGTGATATGGTAGAGAGATTCGGCTGTAAACCGTAAGCAGTGTCCCTCGTTCAGTCGTGAGTGTGGCGCGCGATGCTGTCGAAGTGACAGCAACAGCCTGCCTCCATCTGACGTCGCTCACAGGGAACAATTTTTTACCTTTTTTCAGTGTATATTTGTGGAGAACAAAATGCCTTGGGGATAAAAACATCAAGAAACACCCAAGTTTCATACACTGGCTGCCACAATGCTCCATGTCAGGACGATGAAATGATGCCATCTTGTTGAGGGCAGACCAGATTTTTTATCATGAACGGTGGGCGTGGATACATTGTTCGTGCCAAAATCCTTTCTAATTTCTCGCGTCTGACATTTTCGGTGATCACTTCCACGCCGTGTCATTTGAGAGGGGTGTGGGGGGGGGGGGGAGGGAGGGAGAGGAGGGATGGGGGATTAGGCTCTTCTAATGCACTGCTATGCATGTTTCATTGTTGTATGCGCCCTCACTCTTCTGTCCTCCTTTCGTCATGGTGTAAAACTTCCTTGTTGTGTTCAAGCTGCATTCGGCAGAGATCTTCAGATTGTTCCGATCACTCACAGACTTCAAGGCGGAGACACAAGCGTTGGTCCCGGCTGCCGCGGAGGTCGTGTGGATATGTTTCATACGTTGCATATATTTTGTCCGAAATATCACCACATTCTGGTCTACCGGGGTGTGCCAAGGTCATCTTCACGTTGACTGAATGCGGGAAACCGCATCTGTCCATGACTTCAGAAAATATAGCATAATGGACGATAACAACCTTCCTGCGATTGAGTATTCATGCTTTCGTGACACTTAAATTCTTACATCGCATTCTTGCCCTTTAAACGCGCTCGGATCAATCCCGTGTGTTTGTGCTTGGCTGAGCGCCCCGAGCAATTGTGTCATTTTAAAGAGGCCTACCAGCGAACACCACAGCATTTTTACCGATATTACACATTAATGGGAGGAACTGTTTATGTCTGATGTCCAATGAAAATGACAAATATCTTATGCGATATTCTCACCTCGCATGGATAATTGTTAACGAACTACCTGATGACCGTCCGACAATGATCCAATACGTTTATTATGAACATTGTGACAGCGAACTCTCACTACATGCAGACGCACTCACTGATCGCATCCCTGACTGGCGTGAGGCACGAACTGGACCGTGACAAGCCGCGCTTGCCGACCGGGCGCTCCTCCCTCCGTAACTACTGCAGCACGCAGCGCGCGGCTTGGGCTGGTGCGCGGGCCGGCTGCTCGGCCGCCGGCCGCGCCTCGTCCTCTGCCTGCATGCGGTGCAGGAAGGAGCGCTGCCGCTTGCGCTCCAGGTGCTCGGGCAGCGGGCCGTTCCAGCCGGGCGGCGGCGCGCCGCGCGACTCCCACACGTCGTTGGCGCGGTGCGCCGCCAGCCGGGCGTTGCGGCGCGCGCGTTCGCTCTCCACCAGCTCCGCCATGGCGTCGGCGTCGGCCTTCCGCCGCCAGCGCAGGCACCGCTCGACGTCGTCGCGCCACTGCGAGCAGTCGGCCAGCTGGCCGTCGATAAAGTACTGGTGGAAGCGGCCCTTGGGTCGCCGGCACTCCTTGAGCTCCTGCTGCAGCAGCTCGCAGGAGCGCACCAGCCACGCGTCGGCCGGCAGCTGCTCCAAGTGCGATATCTCGGTGGCCAGGTCTACCTCGGCTGTCATGACGACGGCGGCGTCGCCGGCCGGAGGCGCTGCCCTCGGGCGCCCGCGCGCTGTTGATGCCGGCACTCGCGATCGCTGGAAATCGCTTCGCCCCTACGACTGCTGAAACAAAGGACGGAATATTAGTCTAAATAGTTAAGGACTTGTAAGTTTCAGGACAAGTCCACATCTGCCAGCTGACACAACAGACAACCATGAAATTGGCATTATGAAGTGAATGGGATGAAAAGGGGTGGAAAACTTTTCAGCTGAGAGGTAGAGGGCAAGCTTTTCTGGATAGGAAAATACAACATGGAATATTCTTTCAACTTTCATATAGCATATGTGTTGTCCTGCACATTTGTACCCTGCTCATCAGTTGAGGTTTTTCACATCTGCATCCAAGACTAGTGCAATATTCCAGACCTATGTATAGAGGAACTTACCAGATTTGCCAGGCTGATGACTTGATGGCCTACAGAACTGTAACTTTACACTTAAAGTTCCTATTATTTTGCCAGCATTGCACTCATGCAGTAGTTCTCAAATGGCATATAATGCAAATGATAATGCAAAGTGCTTTGCAGATACTTGTAACTGCAAACAACCGCATGGAAACCATGTTGCACTTGACAAAATGCACTGCATAGAAACAATACCCTGTGGCCTTTGTATGGAAAACAATATTTGATAAAATTATTTGAATACTTCTTGTTATTTTATTTTATCCTGTTATCCAAGGTTGAAAGAGTATTTTGAGCTATAATTGCAGTTTTAGCTAGGTATTATTTTCATACTAAAACAAAAATTTGGGAAATTGTAGTCCATTATGAGCCTCCCACTTGAAATTATCAGAGATGCAGTTGCCTTCCAGATGTCGTGGTTGCTGTGTTACTCAAATTGCCTGCATGTTACTTAAGTTATGTGATGTCTTCCTTGAGGAATGTTGTTTATTATTTACATCATACAACATGTTGGAAGCTTTTTGTTTCTTTGTGCCCTGTGGAGGCCAAAGTTGCACAATGCAAGCCAAGTTGCTTGTGAGTCATCTGATTAATTGTCTGAACATTTTGTGAACTGCAATGAAGTTCATCTGCTCAATGAAAGCTTGTGATGTATTTAAGTTACTCAGGATGTTAAGTCATCTTAAATAACAATTTTTAACTGGATGCTCAACTCAAAATAACTGAGGCAGATGTAAGAAAGTTACTGCATGCTGGCATGATTTGATTGTCTCATTATAGGGGATGTCTTATTAAGCATGGCTTGTCTCAATGACATGTTCTTCTCCAAGTCCACAAGCAGAAGAGAAGTGCAGACATGTGAGGAACCATCACACTTATACCATAATAACAATGCTCACTTTAAGTCTCGGGATGGCTGGGGTTTGATAGGGCATAATTTGAAAAGCAGCATATAGTGTTGACCTCACACATAAGGGAATGCATTACCCTTGACTAAAATTGAACAGAACATGAGAGGCTGCTCAGTGCATTTTAGACTACAGACAAATGTCTGATTCAGGGCATTGTCATGTGGACAGACCAACACAATATAATGCTAGGATATTATGGACTACCTGTGGGGAAGGTCATGCAAGTGAGCCATACATTAACCTACTTATTGTAAGGAACAGGTGGTTTTCCTCCCAGGGAACTGATGAGGAAGTTTTTTGGTTTGCCTAACCCATGCAAGTATGTCACTTATCTGTAGTTTTCCTGCTGTATGCTCAGTGAGACACAGGCAAGATGTTCACAGTGCATCTGCTGATGCAACTTATGTAATCACAGCACCTGTTCATACTGATAATGAAAAAGCAGCTGCAGTATTAAAAGGTGATGCTGGAACCTACCAGTACTAAGTAAGTTGCATGTGCAAGTCAGCACGTTTTGAGAACGAGCATTGTAACCCGGGAGCAAGCGGGTACCGGAGGAACTAGAAACCGCCATTTTCTGCCACACTGTCGTAACATTTTCGGGTCTACCCGGTCCCACGCCCTTCGGAATGGCGAACTGTATGTTTGCCAGGTGCTCAGTGTCGAAAATGTTGGCATCTCACCTCCAACGCGTCTCTCCAGCTCTCCAATTATGGACGGCCTCAAACAACGAACGGTTATTCCGGGCTCGACACCTGTGCGCCAGTTTCGGTAGCGCCGCGGTGGAACTGTCGACGTTTTCGCCGCGTTAGTGGTGGACAATAAGCGCAAGTACTTGGTTTTGAGTACTTGTATGCGGTGTCGTGGAGTCCAGCTGCACGCGTTAACATAAGATTATCGCTACATTTACGCGAAGGCGGGGGGGGGGGGGTGAGGGGGGAGAGAGCAGCGTTCCGGGATCGCACATATCCTACATTTACGCTAGGGGCAACGTTTGTCTTGGGTTGGCAGCTGTATATTCATGTGGTGGGTGTTGCCTGAAATTCGTGGGGAGGTGCATTTTGGTCGCCCATGGTCCATGAAAGCTATTTTAAAAGTGATCTAAAACGAAATCATGTTCTCTAAACGCATTGTTTGTAGGAAAAAGCATTTGGAAAGGGGCTTGTCGCATCAAGGCGTTAACGAGTGGATTGAATGTCTGCTTTTCATTCACTTAAATAACCCGTTTAAACGCCAAGCATTCTTCTGAATGCCGGTTATTGCGACTGTCGTCAGCCACATGCCTGCGTGCAACCGTTTTGCACCAATAACGAATGCAAGTCTTAAAATAGGAACAACTTTTGGTAGAGCTGTTGCACCTTTTAGAAAGTGTCGCAGTATAAAGAAGGCGCATGCGCATGGCGTTTTGCCCTATAGTTGCCGCTTTGCCCTATAGTTGCCGCTTTGCCCAGTAGTATGATATTTGTTTCCTCCTCAGACAGTAGGCGTCCGGCAGGTGCAGAACATACGAGATTGGGTGTTGAAACGCATGTTTGATACGCCATTGGGAAGCCCGCGAATCATAGCAGCTTCCGTTGCCCCGTACATTTCCATATCTGGTAAAGCCCGTGAGACTGGATGCCTCACCGTCTGCGAGATGTGAACTTTGCTTGTATGTCAAAGTCACTTCGCTTTCAATAAACAACGTGCTCAAAATGGCTCAGTCGGAAATCCGAACCATCGTCCATTACTGAGTTTTTCCCCCATCTGCCTGTGTGTGTATATATATATATATATATATATATATATATATATATATATATATATATATATATATATATCTTGCATATTTTGTGTGGGAAAGCTTAGTTGAGTCAGGTGGTGGATTCCAGCAGCATGAAATGGTGTATCACGGCATGACTCGGAAAAGACCGCGAGAGTGCGCCCGACTTCCAGTGACGTCACTGCCTCCTCTGGTGCCATCTTCTGCTGCTGGGTCGATTGGATTACATGGCAGCGACTGTGTTCTAGCCAGCGCCGAGCTCGGCCCGGCGTGCAGTGACGTCACCAGCGCCCCTGACTTGACCTTCGGTTTGCAGTGGCGACTGCGTGATGGTGATGACATTTAGATCGCGGTTCGTTCTTCGACTGCAGCAGCCGTGTTAAGTCCACGCCTCGTCCGGGCCGATGCCCGGTGACGTCATCAGCACATCTGACGTCACGTTCTGTTCTCAGTGTGACGACTTTGTCCGAGCGGGCGCCGAGCACGGCCTGACGCCCAGTGACGTCATCAGTGCCGCTGACGTCACCTTCTGCTGCGTGTCCGATCCGCAAGTGGCCAAAGACGTGAGTTCTGCCCGAAGCTTCTTTTGAAGAGTGTTTTAGATTTACCGATCCCAATATTGGCCGGTGCACGTTACGCAGTCCTCGATTTGTTGCCGCATTGTTTGATTCAGCATGGTTTTTGTGAGGCTTCTCGATGGTCCAGGGTCATGGTGCCAGGTTTGCTGTCGAGATGTCTGGAGTTGGCGACCCAGCGGCGACTGGTTCGGCTCCTGTGCTACAATTGCGGCCAGGGTCACGTTGATTGCTGTTGCAATGCGATGCCGGTGGCAGGAGCAGCCCTTGTTTATGAGGCGATAATCAGAGGCGCATCAGCGGGCTCTACGCTAGGTGCTGTGGGAGGTACCTGCCCTGTCTGTGTAGCCTGGGGCCATACCATCGTCTGCGATCTCGTCGTTTGAGGCGTTGCGTGCTTCTCACACCGCTGCACAACGTTTTTGCAGATAATATTTGGCAACTGCGGCGTTTTACAAGAGATCACCACAACCAAAGGCTATGTGGAGATGACCGGCATCGACGCCGAGACGTCCCAGGACCTAGCGGACGTGAGTTTGGCCTCCGTCGACCCGCATTTTCAGTCACCAGTCAGGCTGCGTACCTTGCGTTGTGCGTATCAGACGGAGCACGCCGTGGCGCCCGAACACCAGCGCCGTGTGTGAAAGCGACTGAATGACCAAGCCGCGGTTGGTCAGCTCACCACGAGATGTCGCGCTATGTCCGCAGGCGATAGGCGCGAAGGGCGGTCGCTACATGGAGGCACAGGTGCAGGGCAGCAAGCAGCAGGCTGAGGAAGGCACGCTGGTGCTGCTGGCCGCCGGCGACCGCTCCCTCTTCGACGACTGCCAGTCGTGCTTCCAGGCGGTCGGCAAGAACTCGTTTTATCTGGGTACGTGGCGCCGGCCGGTGGACGGCTTCGCTGGATAGTTCGGTGTATGGACCGTGGGTGTGACGATGCTTGTAGTTTTGCACCGGGTGTATGAGCAGCTGGAAGCAGGAGCAATAGGATGTTTTGATGAGTGGCACGTGATACTCGCAGTGTTTAGACAACGGGTATGCATAGTTAATAATTGTGAGTACTTATAAATGTGCGTTTTATTTATGCTGTAGTGATCGCTCCTTTTGTCTAAATTTGAACCCATTGCGTCGGATAGCCGGGTTTTGACTGAGCTATTCCGTAACTAAGCCAAATAAGCTGCGTCGAACAGCACCATAGATCTTGAGCAGATCATCGAAACCATTAGTCCAGTTGCTGCCCCATTGCTTCCATCGGGCAAGCGACCCGTCATACTCGGGCGATGGCGCCCACGTCTATCCGGGGGAGGTGGATTCCACCTCCGTGAAGGCCAGCGGGTCATTTTTAAGGCGCGACAGGTGACTGCGCCGAGTCCGACCGGCCGCGCGCGGTCGGGCGCCGCGCAGACCGGGCCTGAGGGAGCGGGGCCCTGTCGACGGTGGGGGAGGGGGCGAGGAGGGGCGGCTATTGATGGTGCGCCGGCCCCGATCGCCGCTGATCCGGCCGCGACGGTGACTAACCACAGTGCGGCGCCGGTCCCCCGAGGCTTGGCGCTGACGGACGGCCAGCCGGCTGGCGCGGAATAGCCCCGGCGCCGCCCGCCCCCCCCCCGCCCCCCCCCCCCCCCCCCGCCCCGGCGGACGACATGCGGGCGGCGCACTGCTGCAGACCGGCGCCGGCCAGGGCTGACCTGGCGCTCAGCCACGCAGACGGCGGCGGCGGCGGTTTTCCCACGTGGACGCTGCCGCCAGACAGAGTTTTGGGGTTTGTGCGCAGACTTTGCAAGCCGCAACGTCCTTAAGTTATGGTATGCGCCGGGCCAAACAAGGCGAGATGTACGGTTGAACTGCCATTAGGTACTGTGGATTCACTGCGGCGCAAAGCGGACCCTCAGTCATTGGGTACTGAGCATCCACTGCGACCCAAAGTGGACCCTCAGTCATTAGGTACTGTGTATCCACTGCGATCCAAAGCGGACCCTCAGTCATTGGGTACTGTGTATCCAATGCGACCCAAAGTGGACCCTCAGTCATTAGGTACTGTGTATCCAATGCGACCCAGAGCGGACCCTCAGTCATTAGGTACTGTATCCACTGCGACCCAGAGCGGAAGCTCAGTCATTGGGTACTGTATCCACTGCGACCCAAAGCGGACCCTCAGTCATTAGGCACCGCGGATCCACTGCAACGCAAAGCGGGCCCTCAACCATTAGGCACTGTGGATCCACTGCGACGCAAAGTGGACCCTCAGTCATTAGGCACTGTGTATCCACTGCGACGCAAAGCGGGCCGACACAAACACGTCCGCGTTCTCCCGTCGCGCGAGCGGGTGACGGGCGCTGGAGGAGGTACCGGGTGTATACCGTTCATACGTTAAGGCTCTTGTTACACTGGCTTGTCTCGACGGACGCAACCAAGGGAGCATTGCTTACAGTTGCCCGCGTTTTCGCCCGTTGCGAGACATAAGGCGGAGACGCGCGCGTGGCAACGCAGAGCAAATCGGGATATTCACGCAGGCACACATTAAGCGCACAGTTGGTACGTCTGGTGATTCCTCTTCCTTGAATGACTCGGAGCAAACGTATGCTGATATTTCAGTCTGTAACTCTGGCTGATGCAGCCCAGAACGGGGTCGCAACCGAGCCCTCTCAGCATCCGAACACCGTCTCTTGCTGGGATGACAAGACTGGTCGGTTTTTTTCCCGACCCCCCCCCCCCCCCTCCGCCGTCCTTCTCTTGACCTGCTCTTGACCTCCCTCTGACGCCCCTCTGACGCACGCGTTCGGGTGCTCACTTGTGGCTGACGGCTGCTGTGTGTCGACAGGCGAGGTTGGCAACGCGTCCAAGATGAACCTGGTGCTGCAGCTGGTGACGGGCGTGTCACTGGCCGGCCTGGCCGAGGGTATGGCGCTGGCAGACCGGGCCGGCCTCCAGCAGAAGGACGTGCTCGAGGTGCTCGGGCTGACGGCGCTCTCCTGCCCGCTGCTGCTGGAGAAGGGCAGAGGTGAGAGGTGCAGCCGGCCGCCGCGCGCGGACGCTCGCCCGTCGGGACGCGCCCACGTGGGGTCTTGTTTGTGGCGCATGCGCGAGCGGTGGGGAGAGGGAAGGAGAGATGGTGAGGTGGTGCGACCCTGCCTGTTCCTCGAGGCGGGCTGCTTCGCCGCCCGGTTCGCCGAGAGCGGTTCAGTAGCAGTATGACGGACGGGGTGGGATCGCCGCGCGTCGCACCGCGCGCGATCGCCTGACACCCGTCGCCCGGCCGGCAGCGATCATCGAGGGCGGCTTCCAGACGCAGATGGCGCTGAAGCATATGCAGAAAGACTTGAAGCTGTCGCTGACCATGTCGGACCAGCTGGAGCAGCCGCTGCCGCTCACGGCCTCCGCAAACGAGGTGTTCAAGCACGCCAAGCGCGTCGGCTACGGTGACCACGACGTGTCGGCTGTGTACATTCGGGCGCGGTTCTGAGCGTCGGACGCGGTGCGGAGGTGTTGGCGCAGGCGGCCCGGCCCGGCCCGGCCCGGCGCCTCGCCGAGCCGGGCCGCACCAGTACAAACACCGCGCGGCGCGAGCGATCATCATCATCCCCGCGGGCCGCCATCTTACCGGACTGACCGAGCCACCAGCGGCGGCGGCGCCGCGCGAGTGCGTGTGGAGCCGCGAGCGAGCGAGCGCGCGAGTGGCCTGTTGTGCACCTGTTATGCCTGTATGATAGCGTGCGCGGTGCGCGCAGAGGCGGCGAGGCCCGCCGGCAGCCTGGGCAGTCTCCATCGGAACCGTGCGGTTTGCGTTCCGTTCTAAACTAGCGACTCTGCGATATTTTTATACGTTCTCTCTCGCAGTTCTCTGGCCTAGACGCCGCGATGTTGATAGATGTCACTTTACACCATGCTCATCCCCTGCCTTATTTGAGGGCGGGCATGGACCAGGTTATAATATAAAGTCAGCGAGCACGGCACGGGGGCGTCTGCGTCTGGGCACGGCAGCGTGCGTCGGAGCGCGCGCCTCGGCGGCGCTGGGAGGCCACCAGTCGGCGGCGGCCGCTGATTGGCCGCCGGCCGAGTGACGTCGGCGCGGCGGCGGGCCGTTATAGCGCGACGGCGGCGGCGTCCGGGCGGACTCTGACAGCCATGGCCACCGTCCGGAGCTCCGCTCTGGCGCTGCTGGCGCTGCTGCTGGCGGCGCGGGCGGCCGGTCAGGGCCCGCCGCAGACAGCGGCCGCCGCCGCCGCCGGCTGCGTGCCCCGCCTCGAGTACCCCTTCAGCGTGCTGCAGATGGACGAGGCCGGCCGCGCCTGCTGGGGCGACATCCGCGTCATGACCTGCTGGGGCCACTGCCGGTCACACGAGGTAAGACGGGCCGGCGGCGGTCGCAAGGGGACCCCGGGTCATCGCCGGTCACCCGCTGTGGGGGGGGGGGGGGAGGGGCGCGCGGTCAGTGTCGTGCTCGGTGTGAGCCTGTGAGCAGGTTGTGCGGGATGAGCGCAGGTACTGGTCACCAATACCGCCTGTGGTGAGTTCGCGGTCGTTCTCGATCTCTGGGACCGGGCTCCCTGTCAGCCGATGGAGGCGGTTCCGGGTCATGCTGGGATGCATGAGGTTCAATCACCAAAGATGTCGCGAGACTAAAGGCTAGACTGAAGCTGACACCACTAAGTGGCGACGGTGTCCTTGGATCGGTGCTGGTTACGCGGGTGGACTCAGTTGTTAGTCACACTGCCCAGTGACAATATGACCACCAGTTATCCGAAGACGCGATGCTGGGACCTGTCGCCATCATGCCGGAGCTGCGGAGTGGACATGTCTGATGCTCCCGGCAGATCAGCGTAATGCGTAGCGATGCATGTCCATTGCGGACACAGCTCCTGCCCGCCCGGCGGCGGACGTCGGGACGTCGCTGGGAGCGCGGGTCCCGGACTGACTGGGTCCGTGTCAGGGCGGGTCCCAGCCTGACGGTCCGTGTCAGGGCGGGTCCCAGCCTGACCGGGCCCGTGCCAGGGCGGGTCCCAGCCTGACCGGGTCGGCGCCAGGGCGAGTCCCAGCCTGACCGGGTCCGCGCCAGTGCGGGTCCCAGCCTGACCGGGTCCGTACCAAGGCGGGTCCCAGCCTGACCGGGTCCGTTCCAGGGCGGGTTCCAGCTTGACCGGATCCGCGCCAGGGTGGGTCCCAACCTTTCCGGATCCGCGTCAGGGCGGGTCCCAGCCTGGCCGGATCCTCGCCAGGGCGGGGCTCCATGGTAGGAAGCTCGAGACTTCGGCGACGCGATGAATTCCACAAGCCAATCGGCTCGGGCTCAGATCCAGCAATTCAGAGAACGTCACCTGGGTATACGTGTAAACTGGCGCGGTCAAATGTTCTGCATACCTCGGATGCAGTTCCCGACTTTGAGTATAACATAACATCCATCTGTCCCTCAGACAGACCTCAAAACCCGCAGTGAAAGACTTGCCCACTTTTTCATGAAAAGTCGCTTCTGAAGTCGAGTTGTGCCTGTTGCAGCTGTCCAAGAACATGTACTGAACTCACCGATTCAGGCTGGAACACCAGAACCCATCGGCCGGCACTGGGCCCATTCAGGGACACCAGAACCCAGTGGCTGACACTCGGCCTAAGCTCACACTCAGCGTCACCAGAACCCATCGGCCGACACTCGGCCCGAACTCAAACTCAGGGCGCCAAGACTCGTGACCACGGCTCATCCAAAATGAAAGTCGTTTGTCTGGACTCACGTGATGCAGAAAACACGCGCTTTCTTTGCTCTACAGCCAGATGTCAAAACCATGTCAGATCTGCATGCAAGGTGGGAAGTTTTCACCTCTCTGCAATCTGCTCTGCTTAATCTCCGCGCATTAACCCAGGAGCTAGTGCGTCTTTTCATTGTCTTATCACCAGCGAGTGCATCAAAACGCAGCTAGTTCAACAATATGCATCTCATTATTCATTACTGTTACGTGCAACGCGCAGTTTGCTTGGGATGAGTTCGTTTCGCTAGTTCCGATTCAGTATGTCACTCGAGCGCACGAGCGTATCTAAGCTGGTATTGTTCAAGGCTGTATGTAGGCATTGCCATGCACCCATTCTGTACAGACAATTCTTTTCGTAGCCAGCTTGCTGACTTGACGTACGCTCATTTTGGACATAGTTTCCGTTACGACGTTGCATACATACACCATGTTTGGTGGGCTTGACCGAGACCACGATGTGTGGGATCGTACTTCGTGTGATACAGGGTGGACACCGCGCACCGTTGCTTCTTTGAAGTTCGAGACGTCCGAGCCACCTGCTGCTCACTAGGGAGTCCGCTGTGTTATGTTGTATACGCCCGCCGCTGCTGCGGTCTTTTGAGCAGCGCTAAAGGTCTCCCCTGCCGCTGATCATAGGAAAAGAGCCAGACGACTGGACTCGAGTCTAGTCGGACTCGTCCGGCAACCGGACTTTCGGACTCGGACTCATGCCCACACTTATGCCTGGAGACCCAGAAAGATCTCAGAATCCCATAGCATGGGACCTTATGGGCACCTGGATCCACCCTTGGATCCAGCCGCGTGTCTGCCCGCGGTGTTCAGCTGGCGTAGTGTGGTTGCGTAACAGAGCCAATTACCCGGCGGTGCTCAAACAAACCTGATGATGCGGCGAGTCTCCTATCTCCCGACCCGAAGGAAGACCCCGTCCCGCGTCTCGGCTGCTGTGCGTGTGGTCGCTCGGCGCCGAGGCGCTGACCCATCACGTCACCGTGAAGGCCATCTCGGGACTCTCGCGTCCGCACCCCGGCCGGGTCCGGTGCTAATCAGGCCGCACGGTGCTCCATATTCGGCACGCTACATCAAAGTTGCACGAGCGGGCGGTGGCAGCCCGCGGTCGGCTCCAGCCGGCGCCGCCCGGCCGGGCTGAAACGAGCGCCCGGGCGCGTGCCGCGTGATTAGCCATGACTGCGGAAGCGGGCCCACCAGGCCGGGCGGGCCATTGGCCGCGGCACTGATGACCCGGCTGACCGGGGTCGCGGTGATGAGCTGCTGACGCCTGAGGCTGTAGGATACCGGGCGGCGGGGGCGGCTCGACTGCCGCCGCCGCCGCCGCCGCGCCCTTTCCCTGGCGACGAGCCTCGCACTCGAGGCCGGCTGCACTGGCCCGGCGTTACGCAGCGCCGAGCATGTGAGGCTTGGACCGGCTGCTCGGACGACCCCTGGTCCTGGCGTTTACTGCCGCCAGTTACCACCAGTTGCTGAGTGTTGAAATATGCTGCAGCTGCGGGGGAATACCACACGAGAAGACTAACCACCTCTGAACTCCTCAAGCGAGCGCTAACGCGCGGAGTCCAGCCCACCAGTGCTGCGGGATGTCTTGCGCTGAAGTCCACGTCAGTCGTAAATGTCGGGTCCCGAACCAGGCGTCTAGCTATGTGTGCAGCGCCGAAGTGGCCGAGAGTCTGGTGCATGGTGCTTGTGAGTCGGATACGAACACTGATAAATACACGTGTGTGCGATAATGTCCGCATTGACACCTCATGGCCTGTACCACCGCCTGAAACGTTTGAAATGCATTACAACCAGAGCGGCACATCGAGTCGAGTCCCCGCTGCCAATGTGGAGTGAGGCCGGAGTGTGTGCTGACGCGGCGCCCCCCCCCCCCCCCCCCCCCGACCGGCAGGTGCCCGACTGGAGGTTCCCATTCAAGCGCTCCCACCACCCGGTCTGCATCCACGACCGCGTGCAGCTGCGCACCGTGAGGCTGGAGCACTGCGACCCTGGCGCGGCGCCGGCCACCGCCGACTACAAGTACCTGGACGCCGTCACCTGCAAGTGCGCCGCCTGCAGCTCCGCCCTGACCAGCTGCGAGGGCGCCAAGTACCGCAGCACGCGCAGCTGGCCGGCCGACCGCTAGGGGCGCTGCCGGTCGCGGCCGCCCCCGCCCCCCCCCCCTCCCCCCCCCAGGGATTGACCGCCGGGTGGCGCTGGCATCAAGGACTGGCTGCAAACGCGCGCTTTGTTTGTACCGGGACGGCGGCGTTTGGCAGCGACTAATGTTTTGTTCAGGCTGCTAAGGTGTTCTTGTTAAAGCTACAACATCGAATGTGAAGTCTGAACTAAATGCCACTGGCAGCAGCCTCGCGGCGTGCTGTAGACTCTCGACTTTACACATCTGCGCCTGGAGGTATCAAGACGACAGAAGCAGCGGGTATAGGAGGCTTCCCAGGAGTACTTACTGAATGCACACATCGCGTCTCAATGCATTTCTAAACGCACGGTCGAGGAAACTGTCAATGTATGGCAACAAACACGCCCAGACACTGCTTTGTTTGCATTTTGTACCAGCCAGTCAAACCATGCACATTTAAGGCATGCAATAAGCATGCATGGCTTTAAACAGGCTACCCGAATTGCGTTTAGAGCAGCCCGCTTTTCTCCGTGTTTTAAAGCCCGATGATAGTGATGAGCAAACCTTGCCATACTGTTCCATCCCTGAAAAACTGTTCGTGGCAACGGGGCATAAGTATAAGGTAACAGCGAAGCTTTTCAAGTATTTGCTTCCTTCACAGAGCATGCACAAGCCGCAAGTTTTGTCACTTCGCTGCTCACATGCCGAGGTCGACTGTTTGTCTGGAAATGCTTTCGCGGTTTATTGTGTCACTGGAACAAGGAGGCAAAAAAGAAGCAGCGCGCATTCGCTGAAAACGGTTGTTTACTAGCAGAAGTTTACGAGTAAGATTTGGAGCTTACGACAAGGAGTCCGCGGTTTTAGTGCACTGGAAAATGGAGCACATTTCAGCGTGAAAAATGCACAGCAATGCACATCGCACAATTCTTTTCACTACATTTTCGGGTAGTACCGTCACAAAGGAAGTTCTATGAACATCACGGAGAAGAGCAGGGGGAGGCGGAGCATCCCGACAACAGAGGCGGTCGAAAACCTCTAGGGGCTGGTGGAGGCACGACCAGGCGTGTTTTCGGCGGCTGGTACAAGAAGCCGGTGCCGGCTGTGTTGTCATGCTGAGCATTTTTCAAAAGGGATGTCAATTTGAAGCCCAGCTTGGCCAAAAATATATACTCTGCGACTTCCATTCTCGTTCGCCTGTGGTGGTTCGACTGCGACACCCCGATTGGTACATCGTTATCATGATAAAAAGAAGTAGAGGTTTGTTGCCATGTCAGCAGGCTCTTAAAATGCTTTGATCTGTGGGTAACGACGCTCATGACAAGCAAGCTCCACAATTGTCTGCCTCCGGAAAATGGATTACAGCGCGTAGCATTGTGTACTTCACGGCAATCGGGCACGGAAAGTAGCTGCATAGTAGCATTTCCCTCACTGGTAGGAGCTTGACCCAACCCAGTGTTTTGCACTTAAAAGAGGCCCTGGCGGAATTGCGGTTCCGGAAGGATAGCGACGCATCGCACACTTGCAAATGCTTACTTGGCGGCATACGTGAGGCTGGGTGCTGCAAAACTAAGCATGTCTTTCAAATGCTGATAGCTGCGCGCTTGTGTGATACGGACTGTATCCCGGTACGGCAGTGCCCGACTAAAAAGCCAGAGTGTTTAGTAAAATCGTCTCTCGAATAAATGCCTGTCGCCGAAGGTTTCCATTCAAGAACCGCGTTTCATTTCAGTGCCATGCACCTGCTTTCCCGCTGTCCGTGACCGTTCGTGAATATACACACCGTCCCAATCGATGGAAGAAAACGGCAAGGTGTGGCTTACCGGAATTCAGAACGAATGAGCTGAGCTTAACACCAAGTGCGTATGCATGCCGTGTTCTTTGGATGGATATGGTAGTGAACTGAACTTTGATATTGGATGTAGTCAAAATATTAACACATACACTATACTGTGCTGTGCGTGAGACGTAACTACTGAATACAGAATTGCAACATACTGTAGTTTTGCTTAGTTCAATGCGGAGCCGTGCTTTGCTGCATGCCCTTTGGAGGCTCGTAACTTCCTCAAATACTGCCGCCGCGTTCCATTGGGCTGGTTTATTTGCACGGCAATGTTTTCATCGACGTTTGCGACTGCAATACGGCAACCTGCAAGACACCTTTCAAATAATTTTAGATGCCTGTTTGTCATTGATTGCTCCCCATTCATCTCAACTCCGGTTAAAAACACACAGCAAGAGCGGGTAAAAACCTGGACGGTGCTGCAAGCAGTACTATTCCACTACACGTATGGCGGACCGTAAGCCCGCTGAGGGCTAGACAATCCTTCCCAGCGGCCCGACCAACTTACCATAAACCTGGTGGCGTGGCTTCAGCTTTAGCGCCGCTGGAGGGCGCCGCCGCTCATCTCAGATACGGAAGCGAAGTCGCAGCGGGTTTTTGCTGTATCAAAACAGCGCGAGTACCGGCTTCTTGTCGAATAACGTATAAGCTTGCACATGATGTATATGTTCGTGCTCCAGGTAGGCAGATTAGCTTCATGTGAAAATGCCACGGCTTATATAGGAAGAAAGTATAGAATAAATGAGACAGGAAATAACTTTGTCAGAACGGTGACCAAGAGGCCCGATAAAAGATTCTCGAAAACAGTAAACATAACTGGAACATTTAAATACTCAGGAAAGGTTTGAGAAAACTAACTCCGGTCCAAATTAGATGGGCCTGATATTTGAGGATACGTTGAGTCAACTAAACTAGAGCTTTTCCATAAATTAGATTTAAAATGTGCAACAGGTACCAACGGGTGGGTGGTGTGGGTTACAACTACTTAGACACGGGTAGCGGTTGGACATGAATAAAGTGTCATGAGCGGTGGACGAGTTGGGCAAAAAAAAAAAACGCACCCATAAAGACCTCTGAGCACTAGCAGTGTGAGGCAGGAGCGGTTTAGTTCCACCTATTTCTTGCCTTTTTAGATATGATATCTTGATGTAATATACTACCATATGCATGATTTATCTATTATGCGTTTTTCTATGAACTCGCAAGAAAAGATTTTCCACGGCGTATGTGACTATCATCAATACGCTCACAAGCACGCTATGGGCACCTCACGATTCCTTTAGCACGCACCCGGATGGCGGGTTGGATACCCTTCGCTCGGGTGTGGGGTTAATTTAACCCCTGCTAAGAGCTTAGGAACTAAGACAGCTAGACATACCAAATTCACAGTGTGTGTTGACTTGTACGTTAACTGACCTTGGTAGAAGTTTGAGGTCCCTAGGCCGTGACCTTTGGGCCAAATAACGTCAGATAAGGTCAAATGCCAGGTTGGTCTCCAAAGGGCCCCTAGAACCTAAACAACTGTTCCAAACAAAAAGTCACACACTAACTAAGGTCAGTGGCCTTGTTTGACCTTTTGAAGGTCACGGTAACCAAATCATACAGGACTGCTCCGAGTTTGTCATTTGAATGAGCGACTAAGATTACACTAGGCAGTATGTTCCTAAAAACTAAATGTTGACTTGGGTCATTTTAGGTCAGTGACCTGTTGTGACTTTTAAAAAGTCCATGGAAGGTGTATAATGCTGTTCTTGTTATCAATCAATTCGAAATGGGAGCCAGAAAATACCCCGTACACCGAACCCTAGAGTAATAAAACATGTTGATTTTGGCCTTGGTCTGACCTTCATACCTGACCCTAGCTCACTAAAATTTGTTCATGCAACCGTTATGTTGCCTAAGAAAGCATTTCAGAGTAGTATGGCTTCGTCTAACACGCTGTTTTGGACCAGATTGAACGATTCCCTAGAAATTGCCTTCGCTGAAACCATGGCCCGACTTTGACCTGCCATAGGTCAGCAACGGTACAAGAAACATATAACTTTTTGATGTCAGACGGTTTGCTATTATATTGTCTATAGCTACGCATAATTTGGCGCGGCTACGGCGCGCCGTTAGGAAAGCATTCCGGAAAAACCTTCGTGGGTTCAACTTGCCCCCACCCGAGCGCATGTTAAAAAAGCATATCATTTCAGCTGAAGCACGACCAAAAAAAAATACATTTTCCAGATCAGTTAGCACGTCCTCGACCTCTCCCCGAACGGCAGATTCCCTCCAGTTGATAGCTTTGTTCGCTGCTCGCTTCAACGGACAAGCTTGCAAGTCTGCTGAAATTCAAGAGGCGCCGTTCGAAGCCCTTGTAGCTCTGAACGAAAAGAGCCCTCATCCGCTCCAGTTCGAATGTGTGTCGAACGAAACGCCTCTCGGGTCAATGCCATGCGCGACGAAGGTTAATTGTGACAGCGTTGCTAGTCGATCTAGCTCCCCAGTTGTCACGTGCGTACGCTGTTGCACGCATACTCGGTGCTCAGTGAGCTCACCCACGCCGAGCACGCCCAACTACCTCCGGACAGCACAATGGTGATGCGTTTGAAGGCAATGATGACGCGTTTGAAGGTTCGCTATCGCTTCTCGAAAAGCAGCAGCACGTGTGCAGCGCCCGCTGCGTCCACAACAGTGGTGCAGTAGAGCACATTCGGCAGCAATAGCGATTATAATGTTTGATGCATTATGTTCTCAAGAGCCAGACGGCGATGATATAGCACCAGTAGGCTCCCTGAGTATTTCTGCACAATCGCATTATAGTACGCTGTTCAAAGCAGGTTTTCATAAGAATAATAGCCAGGCTATTGCGCCCCACTCACTGCCGTGAGTCCATCAAAGTGGATCTACCTGAGGGAAAGGCTTATGATGCGCTGACATGATCTAAATGATTAGTTACTACCTGCAACGACGATAGGCTCCAATTCATACCGTTGCATGTAAACCAGCTGCGCAGTAATTCAAGGGATTCCTCCATGACTTCAAGTTTGTCCATATTTTGCGGGTCTCCTGTGGCAAGTACTTGACAATTATTTGCGTATCGTATGAGCTGTGCACCACCAGCGGGACGACTACATTCCGTTTTTTGATGGTGCTAAAAATGGGGTCCATGAACGAACTCTAATAAACACTGCAGGTATTAGCGCGAGGGCTGCTACTAGAGTCAGACGGAATGCTCTACATTTGAACATAATGAAGCAAAGCAAGCGAGCATGCATCATATCTCATAATTGCTTGCAGATATGATGCAGGCTCACCTACAACTAAATATATGCTTTTAAGTAGAGAATACTGCCCTAGACAACATAATTTTTTCTTCAGTAAATTTGCATTTCAATGTAGCATTACTTGATTACGTCACTGCACCTCGCACAACATTGACTGAGAGCCAGTTGGCGGTCGTCATATCTGGAAATCGTACTCACGAACATCACATATCAACGAATTGGCAATGATATTTTTCTGGGTCTTGATCAGCGCATGGCTAATAAAATCACAGGATTTTAATGACGTTAGTATGATGTCATGGATACCTGGGCGACCTTGAAGAAGTCTCCCCGAAATAGTAACAAAAATAATAGCATGCATATAATATATATATATATATATATATATATATATATATAATCAAAATAATACTAAAAAACATCTTCGCGGGCGTGCAGCTCGGCAACTCGTGGAGTTTAGGTCTCAAGAAGGGCAGAGCTATAAACTGCACCGAATGGTCTTCAAAATGGGTGAAAGCCGCTGAGGGTAACCATTTACCCGTAATCGCGAGAGTCACGGGTGTAACGCGCTATGAAATCTCAGATCCTCTGCCAGCGAGAAGTGACGACTAGAGATATCAGGGCCTGCGATAAAAAAAAAACATCATAAGCTGCACACACACCAGCTTCTCTTCTAGCTTGGGCACTAGAGAGATGAGCGAGATTGGTTCGAAGTTCCTTCGCACGTCCAGATCCAAAAGTCGGCTGCACAAGTGATATCTCCCACTTCCATGGCGGCATCCCAGAGACAAAACTGCAGTTGATAGTATGCAGTCACGCTGGTGTTCGTACTGATAAGCAGACCTTTGCAACATGGGACGCCATGGCACCGCAAGCGCTGCTGGTGTTCATCGACAACATGGTATGTTTTTATTCATGTTCTGTGGCAGGCCGTAGGAAAAGCAGCCCGCGTACACCCACGTCACAGCAGCCTTGCGTGCCCAACGGAGCCGCTGCTGATACATTGTCGGATGTCTTTCTCTCGCTGTCAGAGAAGAGCCCGTTAACTGACCCACCGACTGTGTCCATTGGTGCTAGTGTGCAAGGACCCATTGCAGTGTTGGCATAGTCGTGTTGGTTGGTACGCTATGCAATACCAGGACACAGTAAAGGAGTAATGAGGAATGCGTTGACGGCTACCCATACATGCGGTCTTGCAACTAAACGACACAACGGGGAACAAATATCTAAGAGTGCCTTGCTGCGTAGACGTTCACCATTACCTTCATAAAGCCACTGCCACATGTCTCACTAGCACAATTTGTCGTTCGGTAAATTGCCTTTTGAACGCGGGTAATCGGTAAATCCGTCGCGCTGATCGCTTGATCCAATTGCAATTGGAGCCGCTGGACTCGGATGCGGCATAACGCCTCAAACTGTCCAAAGCCATGACAAGCTCCGCGCGGAGAGACAATACAGTTTGAGGGCAAATAATAGCCAATATTTGGAAGCGTGCCCACGCGGCCACGCAGGCGGCGGCCGGTGCTAAAAGCGGCCGGTCAGCTTAACACGACGGGTTTGCTGAGGTAGCAAGGTCTCCCTTCTTGCGCTGCCGCAAATTCAGAAAACGCGGGGTTTCCCCGAATATGATACAGCTTACTATCACAGTTGGGAGATGGATGGGATCCTTCACGGAATGTGGAGCCGCACAGCTGATCTGGTTTTCACAAAAAACAGGGCATTTTTTCTCCTGTTTTGATTTCCGTGACATTGAAGTGTTCCACGGTAGCACTATGTGTCAAAAGTTTAAACCAGTCATTGAGGTTCTACTATCAAAACTGCAGTCTTTTCTTTAAAAGCCAAACACGACAAATCGACGACAAAATAGCTGGACGTGATGAATGCATTATTTTTCGTATCGGCACCGCGACATTTTAATTGCTGCACTACCCAGTTGGGGTTCTCTGCTGACCTGCAAATTGTTCCTACACTCCTACTAGCTGTCCATGCATTTTACATTTCACGTCTACGCATTGGTAGCAAAAGCAACGTCGGCTATAAGAAATGACGCTATGTTTTTTTGCAGTGGAAGTAACGACGGCTATTAAGTTCTTAATTATGAGGTTTCTCGCACAGCACTTATGTCGCGTGTAAGTGTTTACTGTAGAAGTTATGTCGTGTGTAAGCAACCACTGTTCAATTTTTGCGGTGCCATTAATGGCGGGCATAATTTTTTGTGGTATAGGATTTGTCGCGTAACTATAATTTCATGTTTCACTATTGGCAGTAACAATAGCGTCGCAGAACGATTGTTGGTAGGAGTTCTTGCTGTAACAGTCGTGGAACCAGCTTAATTAGAGAAGCACCACAACACCCAGCAGAGGAATGGCCCAAACCCAATTAAAGGAGCACCCACAAAGCTGTGGGATTACTGGACCCCAAAATTCGAGCACAAGTGCATCCCATGCCCTAATAAAAAGCTGTCGTCAGACTCAGATTAAGGGCTACCGACAAACGCATGTAGAGGAGTGTCCGAAGCCGAAGCAAACGGGTGCACCAAGCCCACAGACGGATGGGGACCCTGAAGTCCTGCTACAGATGCCCCAAGGGCCAGCAGAAGCGCATCTGATCCAGATGCAGATGCCCCTCAAAACTGCAGGCTGATGAGCGCCCGGCGCGCCGTCGCACGCCGGGGAAGACGTGCGACGCACATCGTCGCACACCCTTCTATGGAGCGCCAGTGGCCGCAGTGCGCCATGGCACATAAGTGGAGACCCTTCGCCTATCTTGGCTGAGCAATCGCCTGGGAAGCGGGTAACGATCTTTGAACAAGGTTTGCGCTGCCTGGTGCACCACGCGTCTTCTAGTCCCTTTCTGCCATGGTTGGCGACAAAACTAGACTTACCTAGGAGACATGCCGGTGCTCAAAAACCTGGTACAATCGCTGTTAAGCCTCCATTAATCGGTGACGTATGGCGGGATGAGTAGGCATGGTGGCAGTATGGGGCACGGTCTCAGCCAGACAAGTTCATGACTCAAAGGATAAATTCCACGTGCGGACCGCTCAGAACCCATAGCAGTCTGTTCCGATCGTCGCGAAACACTCAACACTCAGTGCGTCATGTTTGAAAACCATTGTGTTTGTAGAAATTGTGACTAGGTGGAGTCAAAAGTTGTCAATTTCCCAGCCACCAAAATGTTTGCCTACAAATAACTCAGCTTCATGGAAGCCATTGCTGATATTATTATAAACCTTAACCACTTGATAGACCACAATAAGTTTCATTTTTAAGTGATAAATATAGTGCCGCTTAGTGCCTAAAAACATGTTTTTGGCATGTAGCAAAGTTAAAGAGTTTTTCCGTAACCTGGATTTAAGCACTTTTGGAATTGCGAAAGGAAGGCTACTATGGCGCGCCAAATGGTTGCAGTTTTGTAAAGATAGCAACGATACGGGTCACACCGAAACCACAAGCAAAATCAACAACTGTGGGCCATCAAATTTAGCAGGTTATCGCGTTGCGCGATACTCACACGAATCGGTTCTTCTGATATTTAAGCTGTACGCCAGCCAAACGTTTGGAATTCGGCTGAGTTCACGAATGCAGCTTAGCCATTCATTCATGAATTCTGACCTGACCTGGAGCTACTGTTTTTAGAACTACAACAGGGAGTGAGATACCAGGCATGGTGTATTGTGTGAGAAGAGTTTTGTGATGATCGCACGGATTGTTTCTAAGAACTGGGCTGTGTGTAAACAATAGGTTTGGAGGTCAGCAAAGTTGGTGACTTTTGATCGATTTTTATTTTGATCGAATTTTGCTCGAATCGAAAAAAAATTAAATCGAATCGAACGATCGAACATTACGATTTGGGGAGTGAAAAAATCAGCTATGACTCGTCGAATATTGGATGTCTCGCGACGATCCATGGGCTATGTTCTGAGATCTGAGTTATCCCCTCTGCACAATATTTTTCTTTTCCGCTGTATGATGCTTTGCCTTAGGTTCGGCCAGCGTTTTGCCACTTCGGACGCACTTCGTCACGTTAAATCGATGGATGAAGGGCTAAAAGTGACTGAACGAGTGGCTTTCTAAATGAGCATGTCTGTTGCATATGTTGGTTTTCTTGTCCCTTTACTGCGCCGTGACGATTGCCAGTTTTGTTTTCCATCAGCCGGGGTTAGTATCGTTTTGCCGTGGCCATAGGCGGTCCAGGTGCGGATCGGCTGCTTCCCGTGCTAGGCAGCTCTTCGAATGCTGACAGAGTTAACGTTTCCTGTGCACGCCAAAAACATTAGTTGGCTTATTGCTTGACCAACTGGAGTCGCTCCGACGTCGCCGCGCTCATGCTGTTAGTGTGTCGTGTTTTCGACTTGTTGCGTTTCAAGCTTCGACTGTTGGACAATTAAGTAAAAAAAAATCATGGGGTCCGCGCACCATTGCAGGGTGAGCGTACCTTGCTGCAATACGAATATTTGCCAAGGCGGTGGCTTCGAAATTTGATAATCATGTAAGAAAGCAATGGTGTACAACACAAATTCACGTAATTTTTTATCCACAACACTTGTTTGCAGATGTCTCGTTTTCTTAAAGGCAACATCTTTGAAGCTGTAACGACTGGTGGGGAAAACTCATGGGAACGCGATTAAGTATGGATCACCAAAGCAGTAAATCATCCTGTTTTCCAGGGCTTTTACACCGCCGCCAGAATATTGATTATTCTTACGTCATACACGTCTTTGGATGAAGTGTCAGAGCTTGACACCTACACAGAGCTTGACACCTTGACGCCAAGTGTCGTCAGAGCCTGACACCTTGACTCCGAGTGTCAAAGCTTGACACCTTGACACCAAGTGTCAGAGTTTGATACCCTGCCGCCAAGTGCCAGAGCCTGGCATCTATACAGAGCTTGACACCTTGACGCCAAGTGTCAGAGCTTGAAACCTTGGGCCTGCACCCAGCCATTGTTTAAGCATGTTATCTGCGACTGTGTCATCAATCAGTGCCGTTGGCCTTGTTCATCATTGAATAACCAGGGCAACTATAAGTCCTTTCGTTCATTCTTCGGCTGCATGTCTTTGTCGAAACATTCACTAATTACAAGCATTCACTCATTTTTAAAGTCATGTTCGTAGCTAGGACAGCGCTAATGACGTTATTTCTCATGCAATAACCAGGAAAACTACCAAGGTAACTTTAAGTTTGCTACTGATATTGGTTTTGATAAATGCATTCAGTCGAAATATCAGCACGTCTATCTCTCGATTCTCCTCATTCGACGAGAAATGAAACTATTAGCATTGTCTCATCGATATGCGTAATGTTCCTCGCAAATGCACAGAATAACTTACGTCATTTTTGTGGCCTTCATTTACTCTCTTGTTTTTCGAGTTACTGAATGGGGAAGAATGCTGATAGTTATGCTCTTATGCATGTGTAATGTTCCTCGCGTATGAACTAAACAACTCGCCCAATTTGCATATTTGCACAAACACGGTAAATATCACCACACCCTGCCTGCTGAACACATGGAAGGGAAGTATTCAATACATTGATAAATTATTGCCACATGCATTCCAAAAGACGACCGGTTTCGTTCACTATTACCTTTGTTCACCATCCACATTGTGACAACAGTGTGGTTTTAGGGAGTGTCATCTATATTGATTATTTGCTGTTTGGTTACTGGACATCATGCACGCTGCTCAACGTACTTATATTATACTACACTGGTTATTTGCATTGCGACAACAATCACGTTTGTCGTCACCTCGGCCGTGCCGCGCCGCAAAAGACGCCTTTCCGCTGAACCAGCCTTGCCACTCCCGCACTCTGCGTACTGCGGCCACGCGGTATCCTTGCCCCTGCCACTTCCTGGAGGTACCACGCACAAGTCCTTCACTGGAATACCGTGCGGGTGCGCGAGGCCGGCGCCAGCGCGACTTTGGAAGGGAGTCGCCAGTGCCATTCGCGTCTGGGGTGTATAGGTGGTCTGATTGTGAGCTGATTTACACGCGCCAGAGGGGTGCCGGGCTTGGAAAAAGAGCCATTCAGGCATTCAGATATTTTCCGTTTTTGCTAGTCACACAAATTGGGGTACGTAAGACCGCTGGCACCTCTATCTGAATGAGCAATCAGCTTCTTTGCAAGGAAGTCTCTTTCATGAGATACCGATATTTGTAGCGCATCCGGGGAATACGAAGAGATGTTGATAAGAAGCATTCAGAGCACTGGTTTAGCGAGACCTGTTGCCTGTTACCTGTACCTACCGCCCTAGTTTGTACCGTTCCAGTTGGACAGCTGAATTTTACATTCAACCTTTGGCAGGCTAGACTGCCGAGGGTGTAACACTGTTGGACATTGCTGTGGCACGGTTGTATTGCCGGGCCTGGGTCGATCCTGGTTGGCCAGTTAGCGACTGACATTTCCAAGTCAGTCGGACCAGGATTTAGTGCCGCCGGAAAATGAGTCCAGCAGCCTTCCTGAAGCCCACGGAGACGTGAACTTCAGCTTCTATAAATAATTTATTTCCAAAAACAGCGCAAGGCCACTGTAATGCAGCGGGCTTTGACATTACCTCGGCTATTCAAGTTCGCATGCATTTTCTTCCAAGCTGTGAGCTTCATATCACGACTTCTCAAACTAGCTGTCCTTCATAACGTGGGATTTCTCGAGTTTGGAATAGCTGACTCTGAATATGCCTGGAGGACTCTCATGAGAGTAAATATACGTATAGGACGGTCGGCAGAAAACCCTAGCGTACGGCGAACTTTTAATGAGGGATAGGTATATGATGAAGAAACAAACGCGTCCGGCACAGCCACCTGCGGCTATTTTGATAGACTTGACAGCACAGCATGGAATTTGCTTCTCCTTGTCTTCATTTGCGTACCGTTCAGGCCTGATAAAATCTTGCGTCCCTGTTTGACAGCGCTGGCGCGACAGGAGTTAAAGTAACCGATCTCTTGACTTCCCACGTCCCAACATCCGGCAGGCGATACCGCGCTGAGTGCTGCACGAAGCACGAGCGGTTAGAGGGAGTGTTTCGCGTTCGAAGACACTGAAGCAGGCGTCAGAAATGATGGAAAAAAGCTCACTTGCAACTACAAGTATGCTTTAAAGTGCAGAAGATTCCTCTGCGTGATATAATTTTATTACGTAAGAAATACGCTGTTGCTCATGCTCTTGCGTAGTAACATCCCAAGCACTATGCCGTGTCGGGGCTGTCCAAAAAATGACCGGCTTAGCGAAAAGGTCTTGATGCACTCTATCAAGCATACGGATAGGAAGACTCTTGCCAGCAGGAATCAGTGATCGCCACAGCGACTAGAAAGCCACTTCTATGATTACATTATCTTAATAACGTTGTTAAAACCAGACCCAAAGTTGACGTTCCTGTGTCCGACCTCGGTTGAAGATTATGGATGTGCGGCAATTCCATGATCTTGAGTTCGGCACTATCCTTGGCTGTTGCCAGCGTTTAGACTTCGAATATCGTATTCACCGCACTGTGTTCCATTTCCTCCTGCTTTTCAGTGGGCTGAGATATCGGCACTGTTGCCTGGGCCGTGTGCTCCTTGTTTTAGCGTCTGTCCGGGCTTGACGCGAGCCTTACATCGGTGTCGCCCTGTCACTGGACCGGCATCCCGCCGCGCCGGCAGGAGCTGTGTTCCTCTGCTGAACAGCGTGGCACCGTCACAGGGCTGCCAGGGGTTTAGTCAACTCGCTGCAGAGAACGCGACTGTCGCAGCACTGTCAGAACTGCCGGGAGTTCGGTCCCCTCGCTGCAGAGAATGTGACTGTCGCAGCACTGTCAGACCTCTGATCCGCGTCAGGACTGTTGGGGGCCGTGAGCTATGCATATGCGTGCCTATGTCAGGGCACGGATTAAGTCTGCCTGTAGAGTAAGGTGCCGGTAGCGTAGTAATTAACGCGTCTGCGTTAACCACTGTGCGTCCGGGAAACCAGAGGTGCGGGGTTCGATTCCTCGCGCTGCCCGCCCTTCATGGCAGTGCAAAAGGCAGGCGACGCCATATAGCTTCAGCAGCTGAGTGCATCGTAAAGCCCCAATGACACAAGTCTGCCTGATGACACAAGTCTGCCTGTACCTGTCAGTGGCAATGGGCCGCTCACCGAGACCGCGACACCGTAACAAGGCATCAGGCCGAGACGCCGCTGATGGTCTGCCAGGGATCCCGCTCCGCCGCCGCATGTCCCGGGGTCTTCCAGGTCCCACGTGGACTCCATTCGGCGCCGTCGTCCACATCCGTCCAAACTCCGCCGCCGCATGTCCCGGGATCCTCTGGGTCCCACGTGGACTCCATTCGGCGCTGTCGTCCACATCCGTCCAAACTCCGCCGCCGCATGTCCCGGGGTCCTCTGGGTCCCACGTGGACTCCATTCGGCGCTGTCGTCCACATCCGTCCAAACTCCGCCGCCGCATGTCCCGGGGTCTTCCAGGTCCCACGTGGACTCCATTCGGCGCCGTCTTCCACATCCGTCCAAACTCCGCCGTCGCATGGCTGCATGGGCCAGGCAGCCACACCGCGCCAGACCCGTCTGTAGATACGGCCGCGGCGTAAGGCCGAGACGGACACGATTCCTTCGTCAGCCCACCTGTTGCCACGGCTCCAGCGCCGCCTGCGTCGCTGGCCGTGCCGTGGTCTCGTCACAGGGTGACCAGCAGACGGCAGCGGCACCGCACTGGCCACCGCGGCGTGATCCGCAAGGACAATGTTTACTGCAGTGTTTACACGCACTGGTAATAATGGAGACTTACCGATGGTTAACTGACGTCAAAACTGCCTCCATTCAACATTGATGGCTAAACCCATCTACATTGGGCGATCATTTGATGTCTCAAATTCATCCACGATGAGACAAATTGATGGCTTACGGGTAAGCCAGGTAAGGTTGAACGGAGCGCACTGCGATCCCAGGACAGCGATGGAGATCGATGACACCCACACCGGCGCAGAGGCCAGTCTCTGTTCACATAGTGTGTCGCTCCCACCCTCCCATTCTGGCACCTTGGCCGTTGCATCGCATTAACCGCAACTGATACATCAGACGTCTAACTGCAATCCACGCTTCCACTACCATGGGTGAGCTCGACGACCGCCCCCCTGCCCCCCGCCCACGAGTCGTCACTAACACTTTCAAGCTCGGTTTAAAAATACCCCCTAGCAGTTGGCAAATACATCCATCCGCCAATTGCATACATAGTATAACTGCTTGAACAC